CCATGCCACTAGTTGGCTTGTTGCGTCGTGTTCCGTAGTGGCTACTGTTCAACGTGTCGAACTGTTCGATCAGTGCTGCCGGAAACTGCGCCCACGTCCCCTCGCCTTGGACTATTCTGTTGTTGATCCACTCTAGAGCTGGGCCTCGTAACAGTGTTGCTACGAGCCGTATGCGCATTGCGTCTTTTGTCGGGGTCGTGCATCCAACGGCTTCGAAGTAAATTTCGAGTTCAGCTACAAATCGACGAACGTCGTTCCTTTTTACTGTAGGATTGAACGCCTCCGGTAGCCTCGGCTTCACTGCTTCGAGGTTAACTGTAGTTGCTGCCGTTGTCGCAGGTAGAATTGTCGGTGTCACCGCTGCTGCTGCTGCTACTGTTGTCGCTGCTGCTGTGGCGGTTGCCGACTGGTTCGCAAGGAGTTTTTCGAGTCGTGGGAGCGTCGCATGTATTTGCTTATGCTCAGCACGTAACTCCGCGATTTGCTGTACTGAAATATCTCTTTTTCCCTCCATTTGGCGATTTTCAGAAAGATGCGCGACGAAAATAATCGAATTCTAGGTGCTGGTCGACTTACTGCGAGTCAAGTTGACTGTAGAATCGACGAGCGCGAATTCTGTAGGTCGCGTAAATCTCCCTGAGTCGAAACTCGCGTTCGATCTCGGCCGTTGAGGAGAAACTCGATCCGACGCTCCAAATTCCAACTTTTTTTGGGCGAAATTCTCTGGGCCGTTGAGATGAAACTCGATCGAACGGTCGAAACTCCAACCTTTCCACCAGTAAATCTGAGGGGTGTTCGAAAACCGAATCGAGGGGGACTTAGAAAAATTGCGCGGAACTGGTTTTACATACCCGTATCGGCGCTTTCGTCGTCGCCCCCGCGGTTTTTTAAATGCCGGAACTAAGCGGTTGAAGACCTCGCGTGTAAACCCGCTCTGATTACCAAGTGTGAGGATCTAGGATCGAGCTCAGAAAAGAGAATTTGAATTGAATTACACCTGGGTACAACACGAGGCTATATATAGGCTCGACACAAGGCCCGTAACCAGGTGTTACGCGAAGGTTCCGCGGGTCGCGAAGCGTCCCGAACAGATCCTTACCGAATTCGGTAGAAGGCAATTAGGTGGCCGCCGAAAAGCCAGAATTCGGTTCACGCAACCTAGCTCGGTGCTATAACTATAATAAAATATAGGAAAGCACCTAGCCTAGGAAAGCAAGCAATTCATGCATGCATATAATTATCCTATGCTAGAAATAGCATAATAAAGTAAAGGAAAGCAAGCATAGCTGGCATAAGCCGTCGTACTCTCACAGATTGAACTAGCAAGCAGCAGGATACAAATAGCAAACCCTAAGGGGCTGTACTCACTATTGAGTACCCCACTGCAGGCTACACAAACAGCATATTCTGACACACCCCCATAGCCAAAGTGGGGTGAAATCAGCACAATGAGCAGGCATAGCAGAAGTTCACAATTATGAACAAAGCTAGAGGCAGTCACAGGAGGCCAGTGAGGAGGAGGAGTGACAGTGAGGGGAGTGTAGATTGGAGGCGACGGCTGAAGCTGCAGACACACGGGCAACAGAAGCGGCTGGCACAGTGGCTACCGGAGCAAGGGCCCCGGACTACTGGAGTAACAGACTCCGCGGCTACGACGAGCAGCAGGAGTAACGGACCCACGGGCGACTGGCGCAGCAGGCTCACTGGGCTACCGAGAGCAAGGGCTCCGGACTGCTGGCGCTGCTGGCGACACGACGACGACCTCCGATCAACCTCCCCCAACTGCCCCACACCCGTGTCACACACCCCCTGCTTCACCCCTAGTTCCACTCCCACATCACCCCCCTAGTGCCCCTCCCCACGACTCCCACACCTCCACCCCCCTCAGCGGCAGCTGCAGCAGTGGGAGACGAAAAAAGAGGAGGGGAGAACCCACACCTCGCACCCCCATGCTCGCCACCCCACACCCCCACCACCGTGGAACGTACGGTGGGATGGGAGCAATGGGCAGCACAGGGGGGGGGGAGGGGGGGGGGGGGGGGGGGGGGGGGGACGGGGACGGGCTGCAGGGACGGGCCGCGGGCTGCTGCAGGGGCAGCTGGCGCGGGTCCTGGGGCGGCTGCTGCAGGTGCGGGCTGCTCCAGGGGCGGCTGCTGCAGTGGCGGGCGGCTCCAGGGGCGGCCACAGCAGGTGAAAGGTAGGAGGAAAAGGGGGGGGGAAGAGCGCGGCCCCCAGGGCGCCCCGACGGGCGACGAGAAAGGGAGCCGCGCGGCCCCCCAGGGCCGCCGCGACGGGCGACGGGAAGGGCGCCGCGCGGGCCCCCCCGGAGCGCCACGACGGGCGACGGGAAGGGGAGGCCGCGCGGTCCCCGTGGTCGCCACGACGGGCGACGAGAGGGGACCGCGCGCGGGCCCCCTTGGTCGCCACGACGGATGACGGGAGGGGAGGCCGCGCGGGCCCCCGTTGTCGCCACGACGGACGACGGGAGGGGAGGCCGCGCGGGCACCCGTGGTCGCCACGACGGACGACGGGAGGGGACCGCGCGCGAGCCCCCGTGGTCGCCACGACGGGCGACGGGAGGGGAGGCCGCGCGGGCCCCCGGTAGCAGTAGAAACGACGGGCGCCACGACGGGCGCCACGGAGGGGTAAGCCGCCACGCGCCCCGAGCGCGCGGCGGGCAGAAACCCTAATTTCGGCGCCGCGCACCACGGGGCGCACGGCGGACAGTACGGCAGCGGAAGCGGGTGGTGGGCCCATACACAGGAAGGCGGCAGAGACACGCCGCCCTCTGATACCATGTCAAATATACTAGGAGTACGGCCTAGGCTTAGTAGCCTAGGCCACAGTAGGACTACGAAAGGAGGCACCAAGTACGAGCTAGGATTGTGTGCAGGAACAGAATTGAGAAGGAATGATTGAAGTAGCAAGCAGCAGGATACAAATAGCAAACCATAAGGGGTTGTACTCACTATTGAGTACCCCACTGCAGGCTACACAGACAGCATATTCTGACAGGGAAGTTAGTGTAGTTTACAAATTTTATTTTCATATTTTATTAAAAATAACAAATATGAAAATAAAATTTTGCAAAATCGATCGTAAAGGGTTGCTTCGCAACCCAAAAAATAATAATGACGGCATCAGAATGGCCACGGCATCGGGAAGCGGGGCCGGAACCCACCGAGGAGGTTTGGGCGAAATGCCACTTACGAAATTTCCCGCCCCGAAATGGGAAACGTGACGACCGCATATGGAACCTGCCTCCCCACCTTCCCCGAAATGGCTTAAACATCCAATGACGTCGCCATCTCACTGCAGTCCTCCGTGAAATGGTGGATTGCCATGGGATGGCATGAGACTCTTGTTTGCCGGGGGAAGAAATTACTTCCCCATTTCCGAATGCCATGATGCGTCCAAAATTTGAGAAAATTGAGGGCGTTCGCCAGACACCAAAGATTCCATTTGGGTCGGGCGGCATGAGAGGCTCGGCAACATTTTTACGGGCTGACCAGCCTGACGGAGCTTAACGAACCCTAACTGACGGGATCAGGAAGGCGAGACTGACCTTCCTGATCCCGTCGTTTTTCCGTCGTTTTTGCTTTCAAAGGTGCTGGCGAACACCGCCATAGATTGTGATTGATAGATCGGCTAAGAAAAACACCGGGGGCTTCCGGGAAGTTAAGGATTGCTTTGACGTAGATTCCTCGGATCGCCCTGACCCGCACCACGTCCTCATTTCAGCACTCTCAACAGTGCTGAAACCTTCCCGTGGCTGGAAGCTGTAGATTGAACTACATCGCCGGCCCCAAATCGACATTCTCAATCAAACGCAGGGCCCCTCGATCGACCCTGCGCAGAATCGTTCATTTTGGCTTTTCTTAAGGTTCAGAACTTTGGAAATGCATAACACGGGATTCCAGTGCGGTGAAGGGTCGATCGAGGAAGAAGACGCGTCCTAACTCTGTTTGGTTCCACCACCGACCACCGTCATTTCGGCTCTCCTATACAAAACAGTACAAAAACAGAACTGTACTACTGAACAGGTTTCCCTCTCGTCATTGGTTGCAAGCGAGGCTCGGTTGGGTTTGGGAATGCCAGCTCCTTCCCGAGCGTACCTCCTTCACATGTACCCGACCTAACCGTTCTATATTTCAAATAGAACGCGCTGGGTCGTATCCAGCCCCGTTTTTTCGGTATTCGAACGTGCGTTCAGGGTTGGCCTCTCAGTTGGGAACAGAACCGAACTGCCCCACTTGGTGCGGATTTTGTTTTGTAGTGTTGAAAAGCCAGGTTCGTTAGTTGGATCAGAATCCAGAAACCCAAGCCTGAAACGAGCACAGGCCAGGCCCGAGAATGCCCCCCCAATCTAGTTTTGGGGCAGGATAGGATATCAGGTCCCACCCAATTCTCTGACTGTACAGTAGGACCTTCTTTCCGTGAAAATCTGGGGAGAGCGTTCTGTCAGTAGAAGTGCAGACGGCCGTGCGGCGTGGCGTCGCTCTCTCAGCGTCGAAAGTCAATCAGCCGCGTCGCAGGCTTCGCAAGCCAATCGGCCGCGTTGCAGCGTCTCTCAGCGTCGCTAGGGAGTTCACTCTCAAGTTTAGTCACACTTTTTCGTCGGCCCACAACTGAGCCGTTGGCGGCGCCGGCGCCAGCGGAGCGGTGGTGTCACAGCTTGGGCCCGCCGAGTTCTCATATCCGTAAATCAACCCGAACAATCTCTAGCTATTTCTTACGCGGCAGAGTCTTGCACCCGAAAGTCGAAAGTGCTTCGGTTCGCACAGAATGAGTTGACTCTTGTGGCTTAGCAACGTAGTGTCTCCGAACAGGCAAACCCGAGCATGGGTTTTCAAGAAATCGGTGGCAGAACCAGCAGCAGCAGCAGCATCTACAGCGACAGCAGCAGCAGTTCCCGTAGCGCCACGAGTAGCAGCAGCGGTATCCGCATATTAACCCCCATGGCAAGTCGCGTCAACCCCACGGCGAGTCGCGTCACTCCCATGGGTGTCGCCATGACAATCGCCGTCGCCATCGTCGCCCTCGCGGTGCTGGCGCCTCTTCCCCTCCTTCCAGGAACTCATGCGGCCAAGGTCAAAGGCCCACAAAGTAAGAAGCTCCGGGCTTTGAGACGCCTTAAAGCAAAGCTTCATTCCTGCCAGGAAAGGAACCCACACGGCCAGGCCAGGATCGTCCTTCTCTTCCATCCCCCCCCCCCCCCCCCCTCCCATTTTCCCCTCCTCCCCTCCCCTTTCCTCCCCTCCCCTCCCCTCCCCTCCCCCTCCCACTCCCCCTCCCCCTCTCCACCGCCCCCATCCAGTGTCGGTCCTGCAGGTGCTGACGGGCATGGCATTTGTTCCATCCAACCACTTTCCTCCCTCTCCCCCTCTCCCTCCTCCCCTCTCTCCCCCGGCCCCCTCCAGTGACGGTGCTGCAGGCGCTGATACAAGAGTGGGGCAGGTTCAACGGCAGTGCGACGTGGACGCCTGCCACTGACTGTGACAATATGGAGGGCCTTTTCTGCAATCCCGGTGGCGATGTCACTGCCATGTGAGTAGATCCACTGACCCGCTGTTGAGTAGACACACCGACCCCCTGTTGAGTATACCCACTGACCCCCTGTTGAGTAGACCCACTGACCCCCTGTTGAGTACACTCGACTCAACAACTCCCTGTTGACTTGACCGCCAAAGAAATGGTAAGGCTTGCAAGGACTTTCACTTTACCATAATTGGTTTTCTTGGCTTCTTGGGCCGTCCTTTGTTTGTTCGTTTGTTCCTCGCTTGTTATCTGTTTCGTTTGTTTCGTACATTCATTCACAAAGGCCTAGTGCACCACACCGCACCGCAGCCTTTCCCTCCACGGGCCTCACCTCATGCCTGCCTGTCCGACGCCCATTCGCTTGCCCCGATTTTCCCCGAGCCTGGGATACGCATCATGTGAGTCAAGGCAATCTCATTTGGTGCCTTATGGATTGAAGCAGGCATGTTCAGCTGCCCCACATGCCCCACATCCACCATCCCTCATGCCCCCCCTCACATGCCCCACCCCACATGCCCTACACGCCCCACACGCCCCACACGCCCCGCACGCCCTGCACGCCCCGCACGCCCCGCACGCCCCGCACGCCCCACATGCCCCACATGCAAGGTGCAAAAAAACGACGTTTTTTTCAAATTTTGATCGTAAAATACCGTATCGTAAGAAACGATCGTAAAAAACGATAAAAAACGGTTTTTGAAAATAAATACTTTTGGTGCAAAAAAACCTTCGTTTTTTTCAGTAAAAAGACCAAAACTGCTGCTGAAACAAGGGGATTGATTGGTGAGAAGAACAAGGGGGCCGTTAGAAGTGCTGATGATGCAGCGGAAGATTGGTAGAAGTGCTTTTGTGATCAGAACAGCATCTTTGAAGTTGAAGAGTTTTTTTTGTCTAACAAAAAAACGACGTTTTTTTCCCAAAAGGTACCGGCGTAAAAAACCATCGGAAAAAACAATCGTATTTTTCGACAATCGTTTTTTTCTACCTTGCCCACATGCAGGGGCCTGTTCAGCAAGAACCTCAAGGGAAGCGTACCCACCATCCTTTTCACCCTCTCTCAGCTGCAAGCCCTGTGAGTGATTGGGTGGGCCGTGGCGTGGTGGATTACTGAGGCGTCTCTTTTTGAGGCGCCTCAAGGGCAGCGTACCCACCATCCTTTTCACCCTCTCTCAGCTGCAAGCCCTGTGAGTGATTGGGTGGGCCGTGGCGTGGTGGATTACTGAGGCGTCTCTTTTTGAGGCGCCTCAAGGGCAGCGTACCCACCATCCTTTTCACCCTCTCTCAGCTGCAAGCCCTGTGAGTGATTGGGTGGGCCGTGGCGTGGTGGATTACTGAGGCGTCTCTTTTTGATGCGCCTCAAGGGCAGCGTACCCACCATCCTTTTCACCCTCTCTCAGCTGCAAGCCCTGTGAGTGATTGGGTGGGCCGTGGCGTGGTGGATTACTGAGGCGTCTCTTTTTGAGGCGCCTCAAGGGAAGCGTACCCACCATCCTTTTCACCCTCTCTCAGCTGCAAGCCCTGTGAGTGATTGGGTGGGCCGTGGCGTGGTGGATTACTGAGGCGTCTCTTTTTGAGGCGCCTCAAGGGCAGCGTACCCACCATCCTTTTCACCCTCTCTCAGCTGCAAGCCCTGTGAGTGATTGGGTGGGCCGTGGCGTGGTGGATTACTGAGGCGTCTCTTTTTGAGGCGCCTCAAGGGCAGCGTACCCACCACCCTTTTCACCCTCTCTCAGCTGCAAGCCCTGTGAGTGATTGGGTGGGCCGTGGCGTGGTGGATTACTGAGGCGTCTCAAGGGCAGCGTACCCACCATCCTTTTCACCCTCTCTCAGCTGCAAGCCCTGTGAGTGATTGGGTGGGCCGTGGCGTGGTGGATTACTGAGGCGTCTCTTTTTGAGGCTCCTCAAGGGCAGCGTACCCACCACCCTTTTCACCCTCTCTCAGCTGCAAGCCCTGTGATTGGCTGGCCTCTACCCTCTACCCGCCACAATGACCCCGTTGATTTGACAGAATCTCGCTCAGGAACTTTTGCCATACGTGGCAGCATACCCACCCCACCACCATTGGCACTCTCCCTGAGAGGAAGGGCTCTCTCTCTCCCTCACTCTCCAACGGTCCTGTGAGTGGCTGGACTGTCGAGCACTGAGGTGAGGCGCCTCAAAACACGTTGCCACCCTCCTTGGGCTGGGCTTGGGCCTTCTCTGAGGCCCTACTAGCCACCACCGCTGTGACCGCGTTTTCAGTTGACTGAAGCTGTGCTTTTTTGTGACTGCCAACAGAGTTCACTGACTGCCATGCCATCTGGGCTCACTCACTGCCATCTGGGCTCACTCACTGCCATTTGGGCTCACTCACTGCCATCTGGACTCACTGCCATCTGGACTCACTGCCATCTGGACTCACTGCCATCTGGACTCTGTCTCTTCCTTCCCTCTCTCTCCGCCATCCAACACTACTCCACCCTCGCTCATTCTCTGTCCTCTCTCCTTCCCGCCTTTCCTCTCCCTCCCACAGGATGCCGGGAAACATACTTTTGAGTCAACTCAAAACGCATCCTTCCTTCCACCCACCCATTGCACTCCATGCACAGAAACCTGGCAAGGAATCATCTTACAGAGGTCCCCATATCACCATTCTTCGAAATTCGGGTCAACTCTTAAAGAACAACCCTTCTTTCCTCCTCCCATCGCATGCCGTGCACAGGGACCTGTCAAATAATCAGCTAACAGGCCCCCTCCCGTCGTCCTTTGCCAACCCTACAGTTCTGGTTGAAATGTAAGGGGAAGGGGAGGAGGTGGAGAGGGGTAGGGGTGGGTGAGGTCGGGGTTAGATTGCGGGTTGATTTTTTGATTCGACTCAACATTCAGCTTACAGGCCGGCCCCCTCCTGTCATACTTTGCCAACTCTGCTGTTCTGGATGAGTTGTGAGGAGAGAGGAGGAGGCTTTTGAGGCGCCTCAAAAGTCGCTCCCATCGTACTTTGCTACCTCTGCCGTTCTGAATGAGCTGTAACAAGAGAGGAGGAGGTGGATAGGGGGTAGAGGCGAGGTTCGGTTAGGGATGTTTTGGAGTTGGATTGGCAGTGGGGTTTGGATGGGGGGAAGGGGTGAAGAAGGGGGTATTTTTCTGACTCTAAGGGGCGTATGGGAAGTGGGGAGAGGGGAGGAGGTGGGAAAGAGGCTGGAGGATTCTGGAATAGACATCTGAGACATCTTGTAATGGATGCGCTGTTGTGGATTGATTGTGGATTTGTATGTCAATGATACGTGTTGAATGATGGTTACTGAATGCATCATGCTGATATTATACATGCTATGCTATGCTGACACCACACTGATTCCATGCAAATCTTGTGTTTGTTGAGTGGCGGATGCATATCGTTTGACGTGCCGTCACGTGCGTTTTGAGTTTGACTTGTAAAGATTTGCCGCCCAGCTCACAATAAATGGGTGAATGGGTGGGTGGATGGGTGGGTGGATGGGTGGATGGGTGGGTGGGTGAGTGGGTGGGTGGGTGGGTGGGTGGGTGGGTGGGCGGGTGGGTGGGTGGGTGGGTGGGTGGGTGGGTGGGTGGGTGGGTGGGTGGGTGGGTGGGTGGGTGGGTGGGTGGGTGGGTGGGTGGGTGGGTGGGTGGGTGGGTGGGTGAGTTTGTGGGTGGGTGGGTGGGTGGATGGGTTTATGGGTGGATGGGTGGGTGGTTGGGAATGATGCACGCATGCATGGATGCAGGGACCTGACTGACAACCAGCTCAGTGGCTCCATACCTGCTGAATTCAGCAAGCTTACAGAGCTTGTAATGCTGTGAGTGTCGCACCGGGAGTGTGTGTTGCAATTGGGAGTGAGTGTTGCAACTGAAAGTGTTACAACTGGGAATGAGTGTTGTGTGCCCTGTCTGTATCACAGGCGTCATGCTTGCATGAATGCAAATTCGCTCTTCCATTCAACCGTTACACACGTTGCATCACGTGCATGTTACACACCTTGCATCACATGTGCGTTACAAACGTTGCATCACATGCGTGTTACACATGTAGCACCTCGCGTGCCACCTCTCACAGTGTTCTTATATATATCCATCACCCCACCCCACCACAGTCTCCTTCCTATTCCGGTGTGTTTCTGAAATTCTCAAGATCACCACTCTTTTCCTTCCTGCTCTCTCCCATTCTCCTCACCTCGCCATCTCCTTACCTGACATCACCCACTCTCCCATCCCCTCCTCCCCCTCGTACCCAAACCATCCTCTTTTCTTCCCCCCCCCTCCCTCCCTCCCTCCCTATCCACCCACCCACCCACCCCTTTTCCCCTTCCACTGCCTCACACCCTGCCTATTGCCTGTTCCACCCTCGCCATCCCTACCATACCATGCATGTGCTCTGCACGCCTCTCTCTCTCTGTGCCGTGCAATTTGCCATCATCAGGCGTCTGAACTATAACCAGCTCTCAGGATCCATCCCAGAGGAAGTGGCAGCCATGACCAAACTTTTAGTCCTGTAACAAGCACCACCTCCTTTTGTTCCTCTTTTTGAGCCCCCTTTTGAGCCTCCGTTTGAACCTCCTTTTGAGCCCCCTTTTGAGCCCTCTTTCAAGCCCCCTTTCTTGATTACATTTTCTGAGTTGCCTCGAAAACCCTCTCAGGATCATTCCAGAAGGCATGCCTCTTGCAGTCATGGCCAACCGTAGAGTCCTGTACTGTAACAATCACCCCAGTCCCTCACTAGTTATGTTGTTCCTGCTTCTTGCCGTTCAATGCTGCCTTGCCATACGCTGGACTGGATTCCAGCCTGTTTCACACATTTACACTCTTCTCCCCCGCACCCTCCCATTCCCCCGTTCCCAGTTCGCCCATTTTCGCCCTTCACAAATTACCCAAACCATTTTTTCTGTTTCTACCTTTTAACTCTTTAGACCCCCTCTCTTCTTCGTCCACCTCCCTCCTCCTTCCTCCTCACCTCCACCTTCCTTGCCGCCGTTCCCTTCTGAATTCCTCCTTTTGCTACCACATTTCCTTCCACACTCTTCCCCTACATTCCCCTGACCCCCCTCCTGACGCTCAAACCTCTTCCCCATTGTCCCCCACCTTCCCCCTCCCTTTTCTCTCTCTCCCTCCACGCCTGCCATGCCAGTCGCCTCGAGAACAACCAGTTCTCAAACTCCATTCCTGCCAAAATAAACTTGCTGCGAACTCTCACAGAACTGTAAGGCTCTGTCTCTTTCTGAGGCGTCTCAGAAGTGCGCGGGCTCTATTTCTGCTAGATTAAGCATGCTGTGGTCCCTTTCAGAATTGTACGGCTCTGTGTGGCCTGGAAGGGAGGCTCACAGCCACCATGTGTCTCTGCCTCTTCCTCTGCCTCTGCCTCTCCCTCTCCCTCTGCCTCTGCCTCTCCCTCTGCCTCTGACACTGTGTCACTACATGATTCCAGTACCCGCTGGCTGGAGGCCTTAGGCTGTTCTTGTCTGTGCTGCGTGCTGCGTGTGCGTGCTGCGTGTATTCTCAGCAAGCGACTTGCGCGCAACTTGACTGTGCTGCTGGATTGGGCCATCTCTATGTTATGTGAATGATTGAATGATTGATTGATTGATTTATCTATTGATTGAACGATCATGCTTCGTGGCTTTTGTTGGATCAACCGACCTGCTTCGTGGCCCTTAAGCCTGCGGAAACTGTAACTCATCTCACCTCACCTCCTTTTAGCTCTGTTGACCTCCGTTGACGTTTGTTGACTCATTCGCCCCTGTCACATCACCTCACGGCTGGAGGGCGTTCAACACTGAATTGGTGAGTGCTTGCTCCAACCGCCTTCCACCCCTTCGCACCCCTTCACATCCCTTCTGTCCACACCCATTGGCTTCCTGTCAATCTGCCCATGCCATTGCAGCCCTCCCTCCTTCCCACCGTGTCTCCCTTGTTGCATCCCTTCTGCACCCCTCTGCCGCACCCCCCTGCATCCCCTCTCAAACCAGAGACTTGAGTGGCAACTCGCTGACGGGAAGCGTGCCCGTTGAAATGAGCCTCATGACAAACCTGCAGTACCTGTGAGTCTCACTTCTGAGACATGATGGTCTCACCCTAATTCCTAAACCTAAAAAATAGTGACATGATGACATGATGACGTCAGGCTCGTGAAAGAGCCGCCTGCAAGGGCTGTGAGGTTAGGAGGTTTTTTGCCGTAGAAAGAATGTATGGTGTTAGTTCATCGGTGTGTTGGGTGTTGTTGAGATTTCTCATTTAACACCGTGTTTGTTTTCGGGTAGCATGAAGCAGCAGGGTGCTGTTGGGAATTCTAACAAACGCCCTCCACAACAAATGCTGTCCCTCTGGTCACCACAATCAACATAGTCGTCCTTCAGCGCCCAGTGCTCTGGCTGCCAGTCACTCTTGCTCTGATGTTGGAAATGAGCCTCATGACAAACCTGCAGTACCTGTGAGTCTCACTTTTGAGATATGATGGTCTCTCACCCTAGACCATAAATCTGGAAAATAGTGACATGATGACATCAGGTCAGGCTCATGAAAGAGCCGCCTGCAGGAGCTGTGAGGTTTTCGCCGCAGAATAAATGTATGGCGTTTGATCATTGATTGGTGGGGTGTTGTTGAGACTCCTCAGTCAACACCGTGTTTGTTCACGGGTAGCATGAAGCAGCAGGGTGTTGTGAAGAATTATAAAACACGCCCTCCACAAAGACAAGTTCTGAGTCGACTTTAAACTGGTCATCTCCTCGTGTTTATTCCGGAAATGTCCATTGCCGTGTGTGGTGATTCGAAAACCGACTTCTCCCTCCCTCCTGCCCTTCCTTCCCCTGCGCCCCGGTTTAATCCCCTTGTCAACACACCAGAAATCTCGGCAAGAACCAAATCACGGGGTCTGTTCGTGCGGAACTTGGACAATTGAATAAAATGGCGTACTTGTAAGCTTCTCTACTGCGATTCTCTATCTACTGCTCTCCTATCCTATCATCCCTACAGGCTACAGCACGCCCATAATTTATTTTGCTCCGCACTCCCATCACCTCTCCGCACTACCTCGCCTCTCTCTGCATCCTCCATCAACCCCTTTCTCAGTCCCCCTGAAACCCCCACCCTTCTGTGGCTACTACGTTTTCCCTACTGCATCATCCCTGCTGAGTTATGTTGTACCATCATCACCCCCCGTGCCTGTGTGGTCAACACACCAGCGCCACTTCTCTTCCCTCCTAGTTAGGGATGAGCATCGTGTTCGCCCCTGCACGAACACAGCCGTTCGCCGAACCGAACAGTTCGGTTCGGCGAACACTTTTAGCAAAAACGGATGTCCGGTGTTCGCCTGTGAAGGCGTGTTCGGGCGAACCTCGAACATGTTCGTGTTCAACGCGGGGCAAATTGCAGCAGCGGCCCTAACACGAACGTCTTCGGGCGAACCTCGAACACGTTTGTTACGAAAACTTTAAGCTAGGCGAACCGAACAGGTGTTCGTTTCTTTGCTCAACCCTACTCCTAGTCATGCCGATGTTTCGTTGGCTTCGCTGCGCATGTATATTCTCTAGTAAATCCCAGGCAGGTAGGACACTGCAAACTCGGTAGATCAGCTAACCTCGCGGAACGTGCTCTGGCCCATCTGAGTCTGCTGCGTGCACACCAAACATGAAACTCACCCGGCGTGCACAGAAAACCTGAAACTCACCTCACCTGGCGTGCACTGCTGAGCTGACCAACACAACACAACACAACACCTGCCTTGCGCCTGTCTCCTCGTGCAGGTACCTTAACGACAACAAGCTTTCAGGAAGTGTTCCTGTTGCGTTGAATGGATTGACTGGCCTCCAGGAGTTGTGAGTTCCTGCATGTGTGTGTGTGTGTGTGTGTGTGTTTGTGTGTATGTGTGTGTGTGTGTGTGTGTGTGTGTGTGTGTTTGTATGTGTATGTGTCTGTGTGTGTCTTGCACCTGCATGGACAGTGGCATTGGTAGCGACGTAAACACACGGCTCCTGTTTGGGTGAATTGAACTGGCTGAATTGATCCTTTTGAGAATTCTCGAAGTTCAGTTTACACTGATCTTTTTCTCCTTGCATACATTTACTTACTTACTCTTAACAACTGTTTAGTAAACTCTGCCGCTCCTTGCCCTGGACAATGTTTTTTATACTCTATCGCCATTCCCCCACAGGTCACTCGCTAACAACCAGCTGGTGTCAGCCAGTGTGGACACGGTGCTTGCTGCCTTCACCTCCGTCTCTGTACTGTGCGTCCGCTCTCACTCGCTCACTCACTGCATGCTGTGCGCCCGCTCTCACTCGCACACTCACTGCGTGCTGCATGTATGGTGACTTTTGACGCGCCTCAAAAGGCAACCAGCTGGTGTCAGCCAGTGTGGACACGGTGCTTGCTGCCTTCACCACCGTCACTTTACTGTGCGTCTGATCTCACTTGCTCACTCTCACTGCATGCTGTATGGTGACTTTTGACGCGCCTCGAAAGGCAACCAGCTGGTGTCAGGCAGTGTGGACACGGTGCTTGCTGCCTTCACCTCCGTCTCTGTACTGTGCGTCCGCTCTTGCTTGCTGTGAATCACTTTTGAGACTTCTCCGCTCTTTCTTTGCCTCTGCTCATATGTTTGCTTGCTGTGAGACTTTTGAAGCGCCTACCCTGCACCACCACCGCTACTCTTCTGTGCGTCCGCTCCTGCTTTGGTTGCTTTGGCTCCACTTACATGCTTGCTGTGTGTGTGTCAGCTCTCACTCACTCACTGCATGCAGCACACATCTCCATGGTCAAGTACGGTGTTAGAAATAGTCAGTCAACACTTTGTACTATATTCTATATCGGTTAGGTTACTTTGTAGGTTGGGTGTAGATTTGTAATCCCAACCCTATCTGGTTGGGATTCCCTCGTAATCCTGCAAATCTGCCAACTCACCACTTGGAGAGTTGCTAGGATTCCCATCCCATCCTTTCCCTAGCTTTGCTCAACCCAACCGTGTTTGTACTTAAGGCTTAGTGCCTTCCTTATCAATCAATCAGTTCAGTTCCAATTCTATCATGGTATCGAGCTAGTAAATTCCGCTCACGCGGAATCCGATCCTTGGCGTCCCGATGGTTTTCTCCTTCTAGGCTATGCCTATTTCGGTTCTCTCCTTCTAGGCTATGCCTATTTCGGTTCCCGGCTCCTACGCTTAGCGTTTTTCAGAAACTTCACATCGTCGCTCCGGTCAACCGCGCATTCAGCTTCCTTCATCGCGCATCTCGTTTTTCAACGGCGACATTTTCAGCTTTCGACTTCCTTCATCGTAAGCCTCTGGTTTCTAAATCTCCGTGGCAATTTTCGCATCTTCTTAACTTCAGAACAGGTTCAGCGGCGCAGTAGAACAGGTTCAGCGGCGCAGCAGAATAGGTCCAGCGGCGCAGCAGAACAGGTCCAGCGGCGCAGCAGAACAGGTTCAGCGGCGCAGCAGAACAGGTTCAGCGGCGCAGCAGAACAGGTTCAGCGGCACAGCAGAACAGGTTCAGCGGCGCAGCAGAACAGGTCAGCGGTGCAGCAGAACAGGTCAGCGGCGCAGCAGAGAAGCGGAACAGGGGCAGCAGCGAAGCAGAACAGGGGGCATCAGCGAAGCAGTATAGCAGGGTACATTACGAGCATTCTATTGCCAAAATCGCGTTTCGGACTTCCTCAATTTCCAAAGTCACCCGAACTCCGCTCCGCTTCGCTCCGCTACGTATCGGAGACTTTAGCGCTGCGCTCCGCGCGAAATGGCGACTTCTACTTCCACCCTCGTCGGAAACCTCATCATCCTTAACCTCGCTCCCAACGGCAAGAGCACCAACTTCGGGGAGTGGTGCTATGGAGTGGAGAAGCACCTCCTTAGCTCGGAGCTCAAGGGGATTTGCCTCAAGGACATCCTCCTCAACCGCGGCAAGGGGAAGATGCCTCTCCCTCCCGATCCTCTCGGCGAAGGCGCCACTACCACAGCCAAGAGCGCTTTCGATGCTAAGACCACCAAGTATGAGACAGACTTCAATCTCTGGGAGCAGGCGGATGCGGCAGTGATTAGGGTTTTCATCACCACTACCCCAGTTGAGTTAGTCAAGTCCTACCGCACCTTCCGCTCTGCGCATGACATTTGGAAGTACCTTCAGGATCGTTTTCATGAGAAAACTGCCGTGGGAGTTGCAATCCTCATTCCTCGCATGTTCCAAATCCGCCTTGAGGAATGCCCGGGCAGATTACATCTTTGAAATCCGCAACATCCATGAGGAGCTCAAGGACATTGGGATCACCTTCCCCGAACAGGCACCTGCTGCTGGGCTTCTCGTCGGACTCACCCCGGCCTACAACGTCACCAGTTCCATGCTCAAGCAGCTCCCCACCAAGGAACTCACCTTCGAGAAAGTCGCTTCGGCCCTTCTCTCTGCCGAAAAGGACCTTGCAGCCCAGGCATCCGTCAATGCTGTGCGCTACTCCCCTGGCATCCCATTCCGTTCCCAGCAGGGCAGAGGCGCAACTCCTTTCCCCCATGCCAGTACCTCATTAGGAAGGGTCCACGTGCGGGGCAGAAATGCAACGGCACCAACCACCCTGAGGCAACTTGCTTCAAAAAGCGAGATGACGAGTGGTATGACGTCCATGGTGTCTCCAAGGACAAGCGCCCTCCCAATTGGGCACCACCCCGTCGCGTGAACCAGGTCGAGGCAGTTGAGGAACCTGCTCAGGCATTTGCTAGCGCCCCATCTGATGTTCGCCTTAACCTGTTGTTCTCTGGTGCTGGTCTTATTAATGAGAAGGGGTCGCAGTACATCGGTGTTTCAACCACACAGGGAATTGAGTTCATACTAGACAGGGGTGCCACCCACACAGTGCTTAAAGACCAAACCGCCTTCGTTCCCTACCAGGCTCCCACCTCACTCCTTGGAGCCGATTCTAGCTTCTCCATCTAATGCCATGGGTCCTCCACAGTTTCTTGTCCAGCTTTCCCATCCGGCACAGTCACTGGCATCTGTGCCCCAACCCTCCGCTACAACCTTCTTGCACAGCGGGAAATCCAACACGCAGGCGTGATCACCATCTTTCCCAATGATGTTGACTACTGTGACATGTTTGACGCCAAAACCGGACTCCATCTTGCCCGCTTCATCCTCAACTCCAAAAAATTGTACACACTAGTTGTACCTCCCGTTCAAACATGCTCCCTCACCAACCTTCCGCTTCCATCCTCAGACTCCCCCTCATGTCACTGCCGCCTCCTCACTGACAAGACCATGCTATTTCATAACCGCCTCGGCCACATCAACTTCCGCGCACTTTCAGACCTTGCCACCAAACAACTCCTTCATGGGCTGCCCGCCTCACTTCCACAACCCCCCTCTCTTTCTGGACCGCCTTGCCTTAACTGTGCACAGAGTAAGCTTCGGGAACAGCCCCATCCTCCCACTGAGTCCATCTCCACCGCACCTCTCGATCGCGTACACATGGACCTTCGGGGTCCAGCTCCTGTTCGTTCCCGTGGCGGAGACTTCTACTTCCTTGTCATCGTTGATGACTATTCCCGCTATGTGTCCGTTCACCTTCTCACCGCCAAGTGTGAAGCCCCAGCCATCATCATGGAATGGATCAGGCAGGCTCATTCACACTTCAAAACCAAATTCAAGTTTCTTCACTCTGACGGTGGCAGTGAATTCCGCAACAACACTCTCAAAGCTTTCTGCTCTACTGAGGGTATTCGTCAGACCTTCACTCTCCCAGACAGCCCTCAACAGAATGGTGTTGCTGAAAGCCAAAACCGCATCCTGGTGCAGATTGCTCGCTGCCTCCTCACTCATGCTTCCGCCCCTCCCTCTCTTTGGGGATACGCCATGCTCCATGCTGCCGCCCTCCACAATCTCCATCCTCATCCTCACCACACCCACACCACCCCCACAGAGCTGTGGACGGGTCAAAAGCCGTCCGTCCGCCCTCTTCGTGTGTGGGGGTGCACGTCCTATGTCCTCCTCAACTCCCAAGCCCGTCGTGCAGCTGGCGGCAAGCTTGCTTCGAAAACAATCACGTGCGTGTACCTCGGGCACAACTCGGACTCGCTAGACTACCTCTTCCTCCATCCTGCCACCAACAAACTCTATCGCAGCCGAGATGTTTTCTTCGATGAATCCCACCCATTCGACCCCTCCTCCACAGTCTCTTCTTCTCCTTCGCCTCTTTCTCTTAATTGGGCTGACTTTGACAGCCTTCCTCCTGCCACCTCTCCATCTCCTCCTCTTCCCGCTCCCTCCACAGTTTCCGACCCCCCGTCACCCGCTTCCCCATCCAGCACCACGCAGTCTCCCCCGGTCCTTCCCGCCCCCGAGCCCATTCCTCTCAAAACCTACCAACGCCGTCCTCCTGCTGCTGCTCCTGCTCCTAATCCACCTCCTGCTCCTGATCTGGCTCTTGCTCCTGACTCAGCTGCTGCTCCTGATGCTGCCACTACACCTCCTGCTTCTCCTCCTCCAGCTCCTCCTCCCTCCCCCATCGCTGGTCGCACTCGCTCGCACAAAGCTCCCAAGCCTCTTTCCCTTTCCATTCGTGTCTCTCTCAATCCTCCTCCTGTCGGGGGTGATTATTCGCTCATGCCCTCCCTTCTTGAGGACAGACATGAGGAGTTGATTGAGATTGACTCACCATTCTTCGCTCTGCTCCCTCTTTCCGGATATCGCAGAATCTCCCACCCTCAACTTCTCGGACAACCTCTCCATCCCCACACCTTTCACCTATGCTGAAGCAGTTTCTGGTCCTAACGCCGCTCAGTGGATAGGGGCCATTATCGCAGAGTGTGAGGCCTTCATTCACACAGGAACTTTCACAGATGTCCCTCCTCCCTCTGGCGTCAACATTGTGAAGGGAAAATGGGTTTTCCGGGTGAAACAACTTCCAGGCGAATTTCCTGTCTTCAAAGCCCGGTATTGTGCCAAGGGATTTACCCAAAAGCGTGGACTGGACTTCTTTGAGACATTTTCTCCCACTGCCAAACCTCCCACACTGCGCACCCTTCTCGATGTGGCCGCTAGAGATGACATGGAGGTTGACTGCATGGATGTGTCTTCTGCGTTTCTGCAAAGGATCCTTCGAGAGGAAATCTACATGGAGCGGCCCGAAGGATTTCCAGCTCCTTTTCCACCAGGCACTGTATGGAAGCTGAATTGACCAGTCTATGGCCTCAAGCAAGCACCCGGGGAATGGCACAACAAGCTCAAGAGCACCTTAGGGTCCCTCGACTTTCACCCATCCACCTCTAACCCGAGCCTCTTCATCCGAGCAACACCATCCCGCTTCTTCATCTTGGTTTATGTCGATGACATGATCCTTGTCACCAAGGATCAGACTGAGTTGGCAGCAGTCAAAACCGCACTTGGTGAGAAGCTGGCCATGAAGGATCTTGGGAAGCTGACGAACTATCTGGGCATGGAAATCACACGTGATCGCACTGCCCGCACCATCACCCTCTCGCAGAAGTTCTACATCAACAACGTTCTGACCAGGTTCAAGATGCAGGAAGTAGCTTCAATGCCCACCCCACTCTCTCTACAGCACCAACTCACTGCACCCTCTGTTCCCTCACCTGAGCCCTGTGATGAGGCTTACCCCGAGCTCGTTGGTTCCCTCATGTACGCAATGATGTGCACTCGACCAGACTTGGCCTATCCAGTCAGTGTCCTGTCTCGCTACGTTGCACCTGGTCGCTTCACGAGCCACCACTGGTCTGCCGCCAAGCGGGTCCTCCGCTATCTCAAAGGCACACAGGACTATGTGCTCACTCTTGGCGGCTCTTCCCCTGTTCGCCTTGAGGGGTACAGTGACTCGTCCTATGCTGATGACCAGAGTGATCGGCGCTCTTCCCAAGGGTATTGCTTTACCCTTGGCAGTGGGGTTGTCAGTTGGCGCTCCACTCGGTCGTCCTCCGTCTCACTGTCGACCTGTGAGGCAGAGCTGTATGCCGGGACCATGGCTGCCCAGGAGGCCCGTTGGCTCTCCTTCTTGCTGGCTGAACTTGGGTATCCTCAACCAGCCCCAACGCTTTGGTGTGACAACGAGAGCACCATTCATCTCACGAAGGACCCCGTCTTCCACGGCTGCACTAAGCACATTGAGGTCCGTCACTATTTTCTTCGTGAGCTGGTGCAGCGCGAGCAGCTGAAGGCTGAACACATTGCCTCCGACAGTAACCTTGCTGACTTGTTTACCAAGTCTCTTGTTCGCCAAGACCACTACCGCCTCCTCTCGTCCATGGGTGTTGGGCCACCATGTGGCTGAAGTGTTGTCAGCCTAGGGGGTGTGTTAGAAATAGTCAGTCAACACTTAGTACTATATTCTATATCGGTTAGGTTACTTTGTAGGTTGGGTGTAGATTTGTAATCCCAACCCTATCTGGTTGGGATTCCCTCGTAATCCTGCAAATCTGCCAACTCACCACTTGGAGATTTGCTAGGATTCCCATCCCATCCTTTCCCTAGCTTTGCTCAACCCAACCGTGTTTGTACTTAAGGCCTAGTGCCTTCCTTATCAATCAATCAGTTCAGTTCCATTTCTAACATACGGCTCCTGTCCGACTATGTGGAGAAAGACGCGTCCAGCGTCCTGGACGCATGCGTCCAGACGCTGGACGCTAGTTTAGGGCCCCCGAGACGCAGCAAAAGACGCAGGTCCGGGCAGCAAAAAAAAACCCCCCGGGCAGCCAAAAAAAAAGTTATAGGGCAGAGGGAAGAGGGGGTAAGAGGGGGGGGGGAACACACTTTCATAGCAAAATTTCTCCTCAACAACAAAATTTCAGCCACAACAATAGAACATGAAGGTGAGCCCCAAATTTCCATAATCACAATTAGTCCAAGGGTTGTTTAGCATGCATGCATACTACCACTAACTAACATGCATCACTCATCCTCCTCGCTCTCCATCCCCTTCTCCTCCTTCTCCAAATCCTCCTGCTCCTTGTACTCGTCGAAGGTGAGGTCATCCTCATCCACCTCCACCTCTCCATCCTCCTCAAGCTTGTACCCCTCGGGAAGGGGTCGGGGGGGAATGTTCCCCTCCACTATTCCCGCCTTCCTGACTTCCCCACTCGGCCCCGCACCCGCCGCACCCTTGTGGTGGTTGTGCACAACGTTCCAGTTGTGCGCAACGAACACAAGGTCGCGAACACAAGGAGCTAGCCATAACGGTGGTGCGCGGAAAGGAGCTAAAACCACTAGGGTTTTTGAAAGAGAATTGGGTTGTGAGAAAAGGGAGCACAAATGAGAGGTTTCATGAACTAAATGGGCTTTGTGGGGGTGGTGGACCACAAAGGTTGGGTTTCCTAGTTGTGGAGTGGTGGAGAGGGGTTGGATTTCCAAATCAATTTTGCAAAAAGGGGAGGGGGTTAGGGGTGAATTAGATGGCTGGTTTTGGGGGTCGAATTTGCTTGGGGGGTGTCGAATTTTGGCGAAATTGACATTCGCGACGAAATCGCGAATGTCAATTTCGCGATCGCGAAAAAAAAAAAATCTCGGTCTGCCCGAAAAAATTTCCAGGGTGCGTCCTGCGTCCGGACGCGCGTCCTGCGTCTTTGCGTCCGGACGCAGGACGCAGGGCTGCCCCAGCGTCTTTCTCCACATAGCTGTCCGATCCTTCTCTCTCTTCCCCTTTCCCCTTCCGCCTGCCCATACCCTCACTCACCCTCCCACCCTACCCTTCCTCTCGCTCATCCTCCCTATTTTCCATTCTCCCTCGCTTCCTCCCCCGTTTTCTCTGAATTTCTCTTCCCGCCTTTCACTCCCCCGCCTCATACTGTTTCTTTCTCATATGCCTGTCTGTCTCCCTCTCTTGTCCCCACCAGAGACATCTCGCACAACCTATTTACAGGAACCATTCAAGCAGGGATAAGTGACCTCTCCAATTTGGCAGTTCTGTGCGTTTACCAAAGCACTCAGTAACGAATCATTGTTCACATAACATGCACACCACCACTAAAAAGTTGCACTACAAGCGCAGCAGGCCACCAGCACGAGCACCACCACCACCAGCAGTAGCAGCAGCAGCAGGAGCACCACCACAGTTACACCAGAAACCCAGCATTCTTTTCAGTCTCTCGTCATGCTACATCTGCTGTGTTCCCTTTAGAGGACATAGCAACATCTGAACCGCAGACCTGCTCTTTTCCTCCTCAGTTGAAAACTTGTTACTCCAACTGGCGGCCTATCAGTTTATGTCACTTGTCACTTGTTACTCTACCCTTCTGACTCCGACCCTCACTTTCCCTGCTTAAAATTGTGAGCACTCTACGTTGTCACCACACACTATGTTTCCCTCTCACCTTGCACTCGCCTCAGTCGAATGGGGGGGATTAATCTCGGAGAAACTGGGCTTCCTGGAGAGATCCTTTCGCTCACCAGACTCTGCGTCCTGTAAGCAGCATTGTAACAAACAAGATGACTTGTAACTTAACTCAAAAGTACCTCACTACTAGCCTGTTTCTGCTGTTAGTGGGGTGTTCACAGCACCAGTTAATGTCTCCAGTGGTGGCTGCTGCTGCATATCATGGCATGGTGTGGCATGGCATGGGATGGAATGGAATGGCATGGCATGGCATGGCCTGAGATTGCATGGTATGGCGTGACATGGCATGACTTAACGTGGCATGGGGCCTGGCTTTAGCGTGGCATGGCATGAGATGGCATGGCATGGCACGGCACGGCATTCCGCTGCATGGCATGAGTTTAGATGGCATGGGCCTAGGGGGTTCATGCGTTGTAGTGCCATCACTCAGCTGGTTAATAATGCATACCCACTCAGTCCCTTGGGGCCATGTTATTATACTGATGCATCTCCCTTTTTTGCAATTCCTTCCTTGATGCATTTCCGTTTCTGTAGTTCCTTCCTTCATTCATGCATCCCTCAATCTGCAGTCGCTTCTTTCATGCATCTTTTTTTGGTAATTCCTCTTTTCGTCCATCCACGTGGCAAGAATCTGTTTCATCATGCATTTTTAAGCCATTCTCTACCAATGTTTCTGCCCATCGCCCTTTCCCCACTGTACCACCTGTATCTCTGCATGCTTTCCCGGTGTGCTCGCCATGCCATTTCCACCCTCATGGGCCTCATGGCATACATGGCATTACCTGACATGGCATGGCACTGTATGGCACGGCATGGTGCCATGGATTGAGATGGAGTGGTATCGTATGAATTGGTATCACATGGTATGGCATGGTATCGTATGACATGGCATGGGCATGTGCGGAGATAACTGCTGCAACGGGAGCTGGACTACGGGCTAGGCACGGGTGCTCGTGTGATCTCTGCGTTCGTTCACTTAGTCGTTTCGTTGTGTTCACGCTGCTTGCTAGTTCACGGGGAGAATTGGCAAGAGTTTCACTAGGAAAACATGACAACAAAGGTAGCAACAACATTGGCATCACAGACTACATCAGTGCTAGCTAGGCTGCTGGTCGACCTCCAGCGCAGCATGGTCGACCGCGCTCCAGCGCAGCAGCGCTCGCACCGCTCCAGCTTTGCAGAGTAGCGGTTCGCCAACGTTGCAAGTCCACGGTGTGCCAGCGCTGCAGCAAGTCGGCTGCACAGCGTTGCACCCGCAGGACAACGGTGCACCTGCTTCGTAGGTGCGCGCAGCTGGTTGGTGCGCACTTCCCTGTCACGTGCACAGCGCAGACGCCTGGCAGACTCCACGCCAGCGACTGTGCCCACCAGCCACGTCGACCTCGGGATACCACCCCCGAGGTCGGCCTCGCAGACTCCACCCTGGCGACACTCGCGCACGTCGCCCGGGTATTCCGGTCGACCGGGCAACCACGCTTGGCCGACCAGCGCAGTCCGTAGCCGGCCACGGATGCCCGGCGTCCCCAGTCCGGCGTCCAGGCGCCCAGGACGCCTTCCGAACCCCCTGGTCGGCGTCCAGACGCCCAGGACGGTGTCTGGGCCCCCCGGGACGCCCAGGTCGGCGTCCGGACCCCCAGGACGCCGTGCAGACGCCTAGGTCGGCGTCTGGCCTTCCAGAACGCCGTGCAGGCGCCCACGACGTCAACCAGGCGCCCGGGTAGTCGTGGCGACGCCCAGCTCGGCGTCCAGCTTCCCAGGACGCCGTCCAGGTGTCCAGGACGCCAACCAGGCGTCCAGGACGGCGTCCTCCTGCTCGGCGCCCTCCAGTCAGGCGCCCTCCAGCTTGGCGCCCTTGCAGTGGCCCCCGTGCCCACTGCGACAGGTCGGCTGCAACCCCCGCACATCCGACCACAAGGTTGGCTCCGCCCAAGCGTGGACGGGGCCTAACAACACTCCCGTTGACACTCCCCTGCCGCGTTCACGCTTGGGCCCCCAGCCCACACGGCAGTACAGCTCCGAGAATAGCCCGTCGGCGTGCACCCAACACACAGCACGCCGGTCACCGCACCAGCCATGCAAGAGGGTATGGCACCTACTGCTGCACGTCGTTGTCGCCGTCGCCCACGTCGGCCAAGCGCACCTGGCCGATTGCGACGGAGCACCGGTTGAAGGCCGGATAGTGCAGCGCCTTCGTCAGGAAGTCGGCTGGCTGCTCAGAAGTCGGGATGTACTACAGCGAGAACTTCCCGCGCTTCACGATGTGCTGCAGCCAGGCCTGTCGCCGCTCCATGTGCTTGAGGTTGCCCGTCAACCCCATGCCCCCGGCGACCGTGATAGCCGACTTGTTGTCCATTCGCAGGACAGTCGGCTTCCCGGCGTCCAGCTGCCGGAACTCTGCAAGAAGGAAGCGAAGTCGGCGTCCCTCCTTCCCGGCTTCGGTGGCCGCCACGTACTCCGACTCGGTCGACGACAACGTCGCGCACTTGATGCGCTGGCTCGACCAGGAGACCGCGGCCCCTCCGTAGACGAACACGTAGCCGCCTGTGCTCGTCCTGTTCTGCTTGTCACCGGCATCGTCGGCGTCCACGTAGCCGACCAGCTCCAGCGACTCAGGTCCACCGCCGAACTCCAGGGCGGTGTCACGTGTGTTGGCGAGGTAGGCAAGGCAACGGTCGACCTCGCGCCAGTGCTGGTCGCTCCTCACCGTGAGGCCGCTCCCCAGCTTGCTGCAGGCGAAGGCGATGTCCGGCCTCGTCGTCGTCGCCGCGAACTGCAGCGAGCCGACCTTCTGCCTGTACTCCTCCTCCTGGCGTTCCTGCGCCTCCTCGTCGTTGCAGGTGAGCTCGGCGTAGGCATCGACCGAGACCGGCGTCTTCGGGGTGCGCTCGGTCTGCTCCTCGTTGATGAAGCGCCTACGCAGCTTGTCGGCGCAGCCCTGCTGGTGCAGCCACAGCTTCCCCGCCGACCTGTCGCGCACGATCTCCAGCCCGAGGTACTTCTGCACCGGCGAGATCTCGCGCAGCTCGAAGGCGGCTTCCAGCAGCTCCTTCAGCTCCTTCAGCATCGCGGCGCTGCTGCTGGCGGCGAGCAGGTCGTCAACGTAGACCAGCACCCAGCAGGCCACTCCGTCCTCGCCGACCTTGAAGTAAAGAGCCTCGTCGACCTGGCTCTTCTTCCACCAGGCGCCGACCAGCACATCGTTGAGCGCCAAGTACCACAGCAGCGGCGACTGCTTCAGCCTATACAGGCTCTTCAGCAGCCTGCACACCCGGCCGGATCCGTCGTTGAAGTAGTCCGGCTGGTGCATGTACAGCACCCGGTCGAGCTTGCTCTACAGGAAGGCGTTCTTCATGTCGAGCTGCATCAGGTTGAGGTTGAGGACGGCGACGATGCTGAGGAAGATCCTCAGCGTGACGTAGCTGCCCACCGGCGCGAACGTCTCGTCGTAGTCGGCGCCGTACACCTGCGTGAAGCCCTTCACGACCAGCCTCGCCTTCTCTCGCTCTACGGTGTCGTCGATGTGGTACTTCGTCGTCAACACCCACCGGTTCTTCATGATGTTCACTCCCAGTGGGCGTTCGACCAGCTCCCACGTTCCCATGTTGAGGAGGCTGCGAATCTCCTCCTCCATGGCGGCCTTCACCGCCGGGCCCTTCCAGCTCGCCAACGCCTCCTTCACCGTCATCGTCGAGATGTCCCAACGGTGCTCGGGGTCGGCTAGCATGTCGGGGTCGAGCTCTGGAAACTCCTCATCGTCCTCGGCGTCATCGTACAGCAGGTCGTCGTCATCGTCCACGTCGTACACCGTGGTGAAGGCAACGGGAACGAAGAAGTCAGGCGGCCTCCGAAGTCGGCCTGAACGCCGTGGTCCCGGCTGGACCTCCTTGGCGTCCCCTCCATCGTCGCTGTCGTCGCTGCCCTCGGCGTCCTGCTGCTCCTTAGCCGGCGTCCCAGCCGACTTCTCCCCTGTGGTCGGCTCCCCTGCCGACTGTCCGGTCGCTGCTGCTCCTTGGTCGGCGTCGCTGCTGCCTGCTCCCCTGTCAGCTGCTGTTCTGCAGACGTCTCCTTCACCGGCTTCACCAAAGTCGGCTGCACTACCTGCTGCCTCCCAGTCGGCGTCAGCTACACTCCCACGCCGACTTTCACAGCATCACGTCGGCCACCGGTGATGCTTGGGGCCGGCGCCACAGGTGACGCCCCACTTCTCCCCTCATTACCGGAGGCCGACGTCGGGGTCAGCGCCGGCAAGTCGGCAACAGGGGGAGCGGTAGGAGTACAGGGAGCGGGGACGGCCTCGGCCTCGGCCTCGGCGTCCGCACCAGCAGGCTCACCGGCCTCGGCGAGCAGAGGCAGGGTCGCAGCCGAGGTATCCGTTGGCGGGTGAACCGGCGTCCGCCCTGACGCCGGCCCGTGCGCCGACTTCCACACTTCCAGCGACATGCTCTCGTAGAACACCACGTCCGACGTGGTGACCACCCGGTTGTCGGAGATGTCGAGGAGCTCCCAGCCCTTGCTCTCCTCCGACACGCCGAGGTGAAGGCCCCACCGTGCCTTCGGCTGCAGCTTCCCACCACGCTGCTGCTCGGGGATTAAGAACTGCGCCATGCAGCCCCACACCCGCGCCAGCGACAAGTCGGGCTTCTTCCCAGTCAGCAGCTGGTACGGCGTCGTCCCCGGCGGCAGCGCCGACCTCTCAAGGCAGTTGCGGACCCAGACGGCCTACCGGAGAGCGAGGTGCCACCAGTGGTGCTGCACGCCCATGTGCAGCAGCATCGTCCGCACCGACTCCACCACCGTCCTCATCTCCCGCTCCGCCATGCCGTTCTGCTGCGGGGTGTATGGGCAGGTCAGGTCGTGGACGATCCCCATGCCGTTCACGAAGTCGGTGAACTGCTTCCCGAGGAACTCCCCTCCCCGGTCAGAGCGCAGCATCAACACCGACTTCTTCGTCTGCCGCTCAGCCACCGCCAGCCACTGCACGAACACCGGCAACGCATCTGACTTCTTGGCGACCGGCTTCACCCACACGTAGCGGGTCTTGCGGTCCTTCAGCAACAAGAAGTACAGGCTGCCATCCTTGGCAGCCACGCGGAACGGCCCGCACAGGCCGATGTGCACGACGGCCATCACGTCATCGGTGTCGGAGCCTTCCCACTGACGCATGAAATACACGGGGAGTCGGCGTCGGACGCCGACTTGAGGTCCAGCCCGGTGGCGACCTCGTGCTCCGCTGAGCTCCGGATGGTGTCCATGCCGACGTGCGCAAGCCTTGCGTGCATCCTGTCCGGCGTTGCCTTCGTCGCCGAGACGATCGCGCGCAGGGCCACTACCTCCGTGGTAGGCGTTGTCGGCGTGGCCGAGCAGGGGCGCAGGTCGGTGCAGAGGACACGCCCGGTGTACGTCGCCCGACCGAGCACCTCCCCTGCTGCCGAGACGAGCAGCATCCCGTCGCCGTCCTCCTGCAGCTTCACGCCGTGCTCCTTCAGCTGGCCAGCTGAAAGCAGGTTTGCCCGGACGCCGGGTACGTAGAGCACATCGGGGATGAGCACCTGCTTCCTGGCCTCCCCTTGCAGAGCGACAGTGCCGCGGCCCTGAACGTTTTGGAGCGCCCCATTGAAGCCGCGCACGTGCTTCACGTCGCCGCTCGGCCCCAAGTCGACGAAGGCCTCCTTCGTCCCCATCAGGTGGTGCGAGCAGCCGCTGTCGAGCAGGACCACCGCTGGGTTCGCCTGCATAGCTGCTGCTACCGCCTGGAAGTCCTCACCGGCCTCCGGCGCCAGTGAGACGGTCGGCTCCACGACGCCGACCAGCGAGCACGACGCCGCCTTGTCGTCTCGCCCCTTGCCGCCTGAAGAGGAGTCGGCGTCCGTCGCCGAGGCCGACTTGCTCGACTGCTTCTCCTTGCGCGGCTTGTTTCCTCGACGTGGACGACGGCTGGCCGACCTCCCGCGGCCTCCCTTAGCGTCGTCGTCGTCGGTATCGCTGCGGTCGGGACACTCGAAGGAGAGGTGGTCGGGGCTGTGGCAGATCCAGCACTCCCGGTGGCGACTTCCTCCTCCGCGACCGCTATCCTTGGCCGACTTCTTCTTGTCGGCGTCCTTGCTTGGCTTCCAGCCACTGCTACCGCCGCCGCCCGACTGCCCACGCTGCCCTGGTCGGCCTCCTTGCTTCGTCGGGGCGACGAAGTTGGCCTGCGCCAAGAGCTCCTGGGATCGCTCGGCCTCCTGCATCGCCTCGTCCTGCAGGATATACGAGGTCAGGTTATCCTCGTTGAGCGTCATCCTCGTAATCGGCGCCATTGACAGCCGCTTCAGGAGGTTGTAGCTGCTCGAGAGTCCCTGCATAACGTGGGTGACGTACGACGCCGTCGAGTACTGCGCGCCGGCCATCTTGATGGTGGCGAGAATTCGCCGGGCCCGATTGCAGTAGTCGGTCGCCGTCTCCTCGTCGCCCATACGCAGGTGAGTCAGCTGCCCCTCCAGCTGGGCGATGAACAAGTCGTCGGTGACTTGATAGGTCGACTCGATGAAGTTCCACGCCCGGTGGCCGGCGTCGAGGTACTCTCGGCACCACTTCAAGGCGATCTGCACGCCCGGCGAGCAGCACCGCGAGATGAACGTGAAGGTCAACAACTGCACGGCGCGAAACTCCGCACGCAGGTCGGGGTGGTGCTCCCCCGGCGTCGCCACGGTCCCTCGGGCGAAGCCAATCAGCCCGGCCATCTCCAGCTGGGGCTCGATGGCTTCCTTCCAGGTGAGGATGTCTTGTCGACCAACGAGTGGCGGGGTGACCGAGATCCTGTCCGACGTAAACTTGAAGTAGCCGTAGCTCGGTGCAATCCCGCCCGCCGTCACCTGGGTCGCCGACATCGGCGACAATCCACTTCGACGCCCACCGGCGTCTCCCTGCGAGGAGCCTGCAGCCGCCGACGACTGCATCCCTCGCGCCTGAACGCCGCCGGCTTCACCGGCGTGTATCACACCTCGCTGCCTCGACGTGTCTCCCGCACTGCTGCCGACCTGGCCTCCACCGGCGTTGACGCCCACGTCGACGCCGCCATCGTCATTCACCGGTCGAGGAGAGGCAGGCCGAGAAGGGGGGTGCTCCGCCGCCCACATGGAGCGGAGTCCTGCCTCCACGACTGCCCAGGGTATCGCCCCGTACTCCTGGGCCTCATGGCGTCTCCTCGCATCCTCCAGCCGTCCCTCCAGGGTGTCCATCACCTCGGCGTCGCCTACGCGCACGCTAGTGACTGCACGGCTGCCGGTCTACGAACACGATCGGTAAGTGCTAAGTCGGCTAGAATGAACTACGTCGCGGTGTCGTCCACGCTCACCGCACCATGCAGAGATAACTGCTGCAACGGGAGCTAGACTACGGGCTAGGCACGGGTGCTCGTGTGATCTCTGCGTTCGTTCACTTAGTCGTTTCCTTGTGTTCACGCTGCTTGCTAGTTCACGGGGAGAATTGGCAAGAGTTTCACTAGGAAAACATGACAACAAAGGTAGCAACAACATTGGCATCACAGACTACATCAGTGCTAGCTAGGCTGCTGGTCGACCTCCAGCGCAGCATGGTCGACCGCGCTCCAGCGCAGCAGCGCTCGCACCGCTCCAGCGTTGCAGAGTAGCGGTTCGCCAACGTTGCAAGTCCACGGTGTGCCAGCGCTGCAGCAAGTCGGCTGCACAGCGTTGCACCCGCAGGACAACGGTGCACCTGCTTCGTAGGTGCGCGCAGCTGGTTGGTGCGCACTTCCCTGTCACGTGCACAGCGCAGACGCCTGGCAGACTCCACGCCAGCGACTGTGCCCACCAGCCACGTCGACCTCGGGATACCACCCCCGAGGTCGGCCTCGCAGACTCCACCCTGGCGACACTCGCGCACGTCGCCCGGGTATTCCGGTCGACCGGGCAACCACGCTTGGCCGACCAGCGCAGTCTGTAGCCGGCCACGGATGCCCGGCGTCCCCAGTCCGGCGTCCAGGCGCCCAGGACGCCTTCCGAACCCCCAGGTCGGCGTCCAGACGCCCAGGACGGTGTCTGGGCCCCCCGGGACGCCCAGGTCGGCGTCCGGACCCCCAGGACGCCGTGCAGACGCCTAGGTCGGCGTCTGGCCTTCCAGAACGCCGTGCAGGCGCCCACGACGTCGACCAGGCGCCCGGGTAGTCGTGGCGACGCCCAGCTCGGCGTCCAGCTTCCCAGGACGCCGTCCAGGTGTCCAGGACGCCAACCAGGCGTCCAGGACGGCGTCCTCCTGCTCGGCGCCCTCCAGTCAGGCGCCCTCCAGCTTGGCGCCCTTGCAGTGGCCCCCGTGCCCACTGCGACAGGTCGGCTGCAACCCCCGCACATCCGACCACAAGGTTGGCTCCGCCCAAGCGTGGACGGGGCCTAACAACACTCCCGTTGACAGCATGGGCATGGGCATGGGCATGGGCATGGGCATGGGCATGGGCATGGGCATGGGCATGGGTATGGGCTTGGGCATGGGCATGGGCATGGGCATGGGTATGGGCTTGGGCATGGGCATGGGCATGGGCATGGGCATGGGCATGGGCATGGGCATGGGCATGGGCATGGGTATGGGCTTGGGCATGGGCATGGGCATGGGCATGGGCATGGGCATGGGCATGGGCATGGGCATGGGCATGGGTATGGGCATGGCCATGGCATGGCATGGCAGGGACCTTAGTGACACTCGAATTTCGGGACCCTTGCCAGATCCTCTTAGCAGCTTGTCTTTCCTCCGACGACTGTAAGCTCTCCCACGCCCTTCCACCTTGTCTCCCTCCCCCCTCCCTCCTCCCTCTTCCCTTCCTCCCCTTACCCTCCTCCCTTCCTCGTCCCTTCCTCCTCCCTCCCACCCTCGTCACCCACGTTATGGATTTTGGGGTGACAACAATTGGTAGCTGATTAAAAGACATTCCAGGATCACTTTTGAATGCTCTCAGGCGCCATCCTCCCTTGTCTCAACTCCATCCTTGACAGATCCCAATGTATTCTCTCTTTACACATTCCTCTCCTTCCCCTTTCCCTTCTCCTTCCCGTTCTCCTTCCCTTCTCCCTTCCCGTCCCCTCCCCCCCCCCCCCACCCCCCCTTCCCTTCCGCTTCCAAGCGGCCATTCACCTCCCTTCCACGTCAATTCTCAATCTCGTTTTCCATTTCAATCCTCAATCCTCCACGCCATTTCCTCATCCAAGCAGCAACCTGAGTGGCAACAGTATCTCAGATTACGTTGATCCACTTTCCGCCCTTGCAACCCTCTCCTACCTGTGAGCGCTTGCTTCCTCTCACTACAAAAACCTCTGACCATAGCACCTTGTTGCACCGCACCTTGTTGCACTGCACCTTGTTTTGCCGCACAACATCCTGCCTCACCTCATCCAGTGGGGCATGTTCTGGAACCTCACCTCTCCTTGTCTGTTCAGCAAGCGGATGCCAGATAGCTGTTGCCATCTCTGCTTGGTTGCGTCTTCCTATCTTCCTTTCTCAGCTCTGTTGTATGCTATTATTCAATCACTCACTGCCACACCTCATAGCCTTCTCAATCCTGCTACCTGAAATATTGCTGCTGCCCATGATTCGCTTGCTCCTTCCTTCCCAAACGCCCTCTCCACTTGCCTAGTTGTCACACCTTCTAATGTTCATCCCATCCCCTCCCATCCCATCTCATCCCATCCCCTCCCCTCCCATCCCATCCCATTCCATCCCATCCCATCCCATCCCATCCCATCCCATCCCATCCCATCCCATCCCATCCCATCCCATCCCATCCCATCCCATCCCATCCCATCCCATCCCATCCCATCCCATCCCATCCCATCCCATCCCATCCCATCCCATCCCATCCCATCCCATCCCATCCCATCCCATCCCATCCCATCCCATCCCATCCCATCCCATCCCATCCCATCCCATGTCATCCCATCCCATCCCATCCCATCCCATCCCATCCCATCCCATCCCATCCCATCCCATCCCATCCCATCCCATCCCATCCCATCCCATCCCATCCCATCCCATCCCATCCCATCCCATCCCATCCCATCCCATCTTATCCCATCCCATCCTACCGCTGTAAACCCATTCTCCCTGCCTCTCCCCCGGTTATCCTCCCTGTCTGGTGGCAGCGGCATGTCAAACTGTGGTTTTGTCTTCCCCCCTCCCAACTCTCTCACCAACCTTGTGGACCTTCAGGCATTGTAAGTCCCTCCCTGCTCCTGCTGCCGTGTGCTGTTGTGCTGAGCTGGGCCGTGCCGTGCCGTGCTGTGCTGTGCTGTGCTGTGCTTTGCTGTGCTGTGCTGTGCTGTGCTGTGCTGTGCTGTGCTGTGCTGTGCTGTACCGTGCTTCGCTTTGCTGTGCTGTGCTGTGCTGTGCTGTGCTGTGCTGTGCTGTGCTGTGCTGTGCTGTGCTGTGCTGTGCTTTGCTGTGCTGTGCTGTGTTGTGCTGTGCTCTCATGGTTGTGCTCAGATGATTCCCTCTTGCAGTGTTTTTGTCCACTACATGCATTCTGGGCGCTTTACGGCTTGCACTGCCATGCCAGGAAATGATGCACCCTTTGCTCCAACTAACATTTCTGCTGCTTTTCCCAGCCAACCTAATGAAAATACAGCTCCAAGTTTCATTCTAGCAAGTCTCGATGTCACATGATTGCATCATATTACCATCTGAACAAAATCTCAAGAGTAGTACAACTATCTCCCTCTGTAACCAGACCCCATCTCTCCTGCCCGCCTCATGCATGCTTATCAGTTATATTTGAGTATACTTATACCTGCATGCTCTAGTTTTTCTTGTAAAGTGGCTAGACACCCTAATAATCGGAATGAAAAGAAAAAAATCCATCCTAGAAATTGGCCCCCAGTCTTGCTGGACCAAGGTGTGTCCATCCAACTATTGTGATCCATGTGAAGGGGCATTGTAGCGAGATGGCCACTCCACCCTCCCCACATGGGCTGGTCGGTCCTCACCACAAGTTTGCCATTGGGTCACTTAGACATGAGCACAAGGGCGAACACCTGTTCGGTTCGCCTCGAACGTGTTCGAGGCGAACCGAACAGGTTTGTTTTTTTTGCTTAAATTGTTCGCCGAACAGTGTTCGATGTTCGCCCGAACACGTTCGTGTTCGGGCCGCTGCTGCAATTTGCCCCGCGACGAACACGAACGTGTTCGAGGTTCGCCCGAACACGCCTTCACAGGCGAACGGCGAACACGTGTTTTTGCTTAAAGTGTTCGCCGAACCGAACAGTGTTCGGTTCGACAAACGGATGTGTTCGTCTAGGGGTGAACACGAACATGTTCGTGTTCGCCCCTTGCTCATCCCTAGGGTCTCTTTGTCTAGGTTGGTGGCTCTGATTGACGTTCTGCTTCAGACTCCCCTTTTAAAACGCAGTGCTCTCTTAACCTAAAGACACGTTTTTTTGTTTGGACCCGTGCAAGGCTATCATGTCCCCCGAGACCTGTCGTTTCATGCCCTCTCTAACAGAAATGTGCTCTTTGTCTTGTGCTTTCTCTACAAGCTTCTCTGAGATCCCTTTGTGCTTTGAGTGAGCCACCTCAGAATGAATGTAGTGCACATCAGATCCAGTGTTCTATGCTCTGTTCCACAAAATGAATCACGTGTTCTGCTCCAATGAATCACCCTCATGAACACAACAAAATTCATCTTCCCTGTCCTGAGTGCACGTATACGTTGTACCCTCGTGTTTTCCTGCTTGCCATCCTGTCTCTCTTTCCCCAGCTCCGATGCCTCTGTCTCTCCCTCTCCGCGTCTCACTCACTCATCTGCCCCCACCCCACCTCTCACGCCTCTGTCTCTACCCTACTCTACCGCTCGCCCCGCTGCCTCTATCTATCTCTTGCCCCTGTGTCCTCATCACAGCGAATTCAGCCACAACCAAGTGATTTCTGCCTCCATCCCGCAGTTCCTCTTCGACTTCTCAGGGCTTGCCTCTCTGTAAGTTGCTACTCCTCTCTCCCACTCTCCCTCTCTCCCTCTCTTCCCTGTATTCCCCTCGTGACTCCACAAGACTCAGAAACCTGGACCTGTTCCCACTGCTATCCCTTTCAGATATGCCCCTGTTCCTGTTCCTGTTTCGCATGTGTGTGTGTGTGTGTGTGTGTGTGTGTGTGTGTGTGTGTGTGTGCACGTGCATGTGTGTGTGCGTGTGCTTATGTGTCACTGTGTGCAGTGATCTGGCCAAAAGTGGTTTTGAAGGCTCCATTCCTGTACCAACAGCCCGCAACACCAGATTCACACACCTGTATGTGCGCCCTCCAACTAAACTATACCCTGCTGTATTAGGCCTGTGAGGCGCCTCAAAAGTCAAAAGGTCTTGTGAGGCGCCTCAGAAGTCAACATCTGCACGTGCCTTGTGCACCCTCAAACATTTCCTTGTTGAATCAGCCTTCACAGCCTTCTAGTCTAAGTGCTAGCAAAGAGCCTTGGAGGAGACGGTAAGAAAGATTTCATCATGAACCCGAAAAATGTGGAGTTACAACATTTAGAGCTGGCTGGGTTGAAATACCTGGGTGAACGAACATAGGTCAAGTTCAGCTGTTTTCAACCGAACAACAGCGAAATGAATGTAGAGTGAACCTGGAATCGAACAGAGGAGCTCGCTCTACAGGGCCATTTCTCATAACAGAGCGAGCTCTGCAGGGTCATTAATCATAGCAGAGCGCGCTCTAGCTCACTTCAACGTTCTGCAATTCCTTTTGTAGAACAACTTGGACCGTTCAAAACGTTCTCCCTCATTTGCTTGCGCGTTCGTTCTCCCATTCCGTTTCACTCCATCTCACACCCCCCCCCCCCCCGCCTCCCTCCCTCCCTCCCTTCGTTCTAACTCCCTTCCCCCTGTTCACCCTTGTTCACAGTGACCTCTCTGGCAATGCTCTCTCAGGGTCTCTCCCCGAGGGGCTTTCCAAAGTTGCTGGTGCAGTCACTATGTAAGACCTTGTGGGCTTCATTCAGAAGAGTTAAATGAGGTCATGGCTATATGTATGTAAACTGCTGCTACACCCCTTCCGACCCTCCTTTTCCCTGTCCTTCGCTCGTCCACAACCTCTCCCACCCACCCTGCAATTATGTTTCCTACCTCATCTTTTTGTTTTTTGGGCAACACGCCCTTCCTTCCCTGTTGCTCACCCGTCCACAATGCTTCGATACGGAGACCCTTGGCTTCCTCTCTCTCCCTCTCTCCCTTCAGCCCTCCTCCCTCCTCCCTCTCTCCCTCCCTCCCCCACGCCTCCCTCCCTTCTTTCCCTGCAGTGATATCTCAGGCAATAATATTGATGGCTCCATTCCTGCTTCCTTCACTAGACTAAAAAACCTTCAAAATCTGTAAGCCATGGGGTTCCATACACATGCCATGCTAATGATGTGCCATGCTGTGCAATCCATGTCATGCGATTGAATCACATCACCTGTCAAGACCCAGGTCGTCGGCTCTTCAAATCTATCTGACCGGCTTAGTCGGCTCGGAAATGGTGCCACATTCAATTCGCATCCATGCACATTCACCACCACCCATCACCACCACAACCTATATTTTGCGTCAAAACGCTTGACAGGCAGCCCGAAATCGGAAAATTTCTCCGTGGGGAAAAAATCGCATTCGCGATTTTGACGGGAAAATCGCGAATGTGCAGTCCAACTCGACATTGAGCAACAAACACAAACCCGCAACACAGAACGTTCCTTCCCCCCCCCCCCCTCCCCTCACCACCACATCGAACCGCTTTGTAGCTACGGAACCCAACCAGCACAAAATTCAACTCAAAATTCAGCAACACACAAACCAGCAACACACCACCACCACATTGAACCGCTTCGTAGCTAGAAATCCCAACCAAAACAGATCTAGAGAAACCCGTCACACGTCATTCTCAGCTCTGTTTTCTCAGCTATACTAGTACCTCTGCTCTCTCTCTTTACTTCAATTAATGGCGTCGTTCACACCATTGTCCCCAGCACTTCCACCCATGAAGTGTTTTTTCACCCTGCCCAGGGGATTTTTTTAGCTGCCCGCCAGAGCGTCAAACCAGCGTAAATAAACTTAGGAAGTAGCGTCAAGCGTCTTGACTCTAGCGTTTTGACGCTAGCGTCATTGACTCTTGACGCGTCAATTCCAACGTTGACCACAACCACCCATCACCACCACCCCCACCCACCACCACCACCACCGCCACCCACCACCACCACCACCACCCCCACCCACCACCCCCACCCCCACCCCCACCCACCACTACCACCTCCACCCACCACCACCACCACCACCACCACCACCACCACCACCACCACCACCACCACCACCACCACCACCACCACCACCACCACCACCACCACCACCACCACCACCACCACCACCACCACCACCACCACCACCACCACCACCACCACCACCACCACCACCACCACCACCACCACCACCACCACCACCACCACCACCACCACCACCACCACCACCACCACCACCACCACCACCACCACCACCACCACCACCACCACCACCACCATGAACATCAGTTACTCACGACCAGATTGACATGCCACATCAACCGAAGTCACGTCTGCCCCAATCCCATGCAGAGTGCTCGCGTCCAACCAGCTCTTTGGCGACATGTCTCCTATTCTCAGCCAACTCACAACCCTCAGGAAACTGTGAGTGCGAGCAAGCAAGCCAGCACGCTGCACACATGCACTTGTGAGGTTCCTGTTATTCAATTGCTGCAAGTCTAGCAAGAATGCCTTCCTTCCATCCAATCTACTGTGATACTGTGTACAAAAAGAGTGCAGGTCGTTCCTTCCGTCCCCACCTTCATCCCTCCCATCCTCCACAATGTATAGCTTCCTTGTCCCCTGTCTCATCTCACTAGTGTTGCGGCCTGTTCTGTCCTGTTTGCTCGTTTAAAGTCTAAAAAATGACCCGCCGCCTTATTGAATCGCTCTCCCTGTGCCTGTAAATCTCTGCCTGCTCCTTTTCCTTCACCCCCCTTCTCCTTGGCACGTGCAGGGATCTGAGCTCCAACCAGATATCAGGGCCACTGCCCACCGCCCTTACTGTTCTCACTACCCTCTCACACCTGTTAGTCTCTTGCTCCCTCTCTCCTCCACCTCTCTATTTCTCCCTCACCTAACAACCTCTCCCCAACCTTCGCTCTCTCCATCTCCTCACTCTTCTGTCCACCTCTCACTCTCTCTTTCCACAACACAGTCTCTCTGGCACCTTACAATCCTTAAGCCCTCTGGTACACACTTCATGTTCCCTGCCAGATTTTTCTTAACGAAATTTGCACCCTCTGCCCTCACCTCCCTCCTTTAGCAGTCAACATACATGCAGTTTTCTTTGCCTCTCCCCCTTCGTCAGTAATTGTCCGCTGCTTGTCCCCTGCCCCTAACCTAAACCCAGACACACATATTCTCAGAACGAGCCTTTTTCTTTCCCTCTTCTCTCTCTGCTCCCTCTGCTTCCTCTCCGCTCTCCCCGCACTCTCCCGTCCCCCTCTCCTTCCCCTTCCCCCCCTCTCCCTGCCCCTATTCTCTCCCCCCGTCCCCATCCGCAGCAACCTGAGCAGCAACATCTTCTCGGGATCACTGCCTGTGGTCTACAGCCGCCTCTCCCAACTCACCACCCTGTTAGTATGCTACGAGGGAGCATGTTTGTATGCGAGGTAGCGTGTGTGCCGTCCTGTCAGCACGCGGTAGCATGTGTGTGGCCTCCTATAAGCGTTCGATCGATACGGCAGATTGGTAGTGTCCGTGGCTCCCTCTATCCCATCCCATTGCATTGCATCTCTCTCCACCGCACCCCATCTAGTCTATCACTCTGGATCTCAACCCATCCCACACTTTTTTGAATCTTGCTTACACGCTCCTTGTTCCCAGCCACTATGATCCCTCCTTACCATTCTCACCCCTCACCACTGCACTGCACTCCTCATCTTTCAGGGGCGTGTCGTCCAACCTTCTCTCAGGTCCCATCCCAGAGCCCGTTATTGCCGCACTCATCAATGCACCCCAGCTGTGAGTGCTGGAGGAATGAATGGGTGCAGATGGCTGTTCCACGTGTAATAACAGTAGCAGAAACCTGTCAGATCGTGCATTTCTTACAAGGTGTGAGTCCGCTGTAAGGGGGGCTATTTGCAAGGAAGAACCGCGTGCTTTTCCTCATCGTCAGCGTAGTTGTATTGTGCCTTCAAGGTTCTCTCATGTTTTTTGTCCTTTACTCCCCTCTCTCCTCCCTCTGACCCATGTGATTATGTACCATGCCGTGCCCTGCCAGGGGCCATGCCATGCCATGCCATGACATGCAATGCCATGTTATCCCATGCCATGCCACCCCACACAAACCATGCCTGCTGCACCACAGGGACATGAGTCGCAACCAGTTCTCAGGATCCATGCCTTCCTCCCTCTCCCTCCTCACCAAACTCACCAACCTGTTAGCCACTACCTATATTTTTTAATAGTAATTTAAATAGCCACTACCTATGTCTTCCTTGTTTTTTCTCTCATTTCTGTGCGTGTGTGGGGGGAAGAGGGGGGGGGGGTGGGAGAGGGAGAGGGTGTGTGTGTGTTTTATTCCTCGCTCTCTCCCACATGTCCCCCATCTCATCTCTCCACCTATTTCTCCTCCCTCCCCTCCATCCTTCCCCTCCTCTCACGCTCCCAGGGATTTGAGCTTCAACCGTCTCTCCGACTCGATTGCTTCTTCCATCAGCACCCTCTCTGCCATTAAGACGCTGTATGCATGCCCTCCCCGCCGCTGCTCTCCCCGCCTTTGCACTTCCCTCACTTGCTCAACCACCGTTTCATTTGAGGTGACTCTAGAGTCTCGCCTGGCTAACCATATCCCCTCCTGTGCTCCATGTGCCCTGCACTGCACCATGCTGCCTGCTGCATACCCGATTTATTCTTATCGCTCTTTCTCTCGCCAACTATAATACATTTCCATCTTTGACCTGTCTCTGTGTCACCATCTTTCTGCCTCTGCCGCTCTGTCTCTCTGTCTCCCTACCGCTCGCTCCAGATCTCTCTCTAACAACCTCCTCAGTGGTTCCGTCCCTGCTGAAGTGCTTGTAAAAATTACCAGCCTGCAAAAGCTGTATGACTCATATCCCTCTGATCTCCATTGCTTGAGTTGCATCGGTCATTGTGTCCAATCCATCGCCTGCAAGAGTAATCACACATTCTGTGAACAATGAATGAACGCTGTTACATCCAACTGAATGTGTAACAACCAACCAACCAACCATGCGCACAATCACAAGGAACGAATCAAGCAAGGCGCGGATGCTGTATGCATGTAACACTCTTCTTTTGCATTGTGTACCTTGTACAGATGTACAAGGATACACACTCGTGCTGTTCCATGTGATGGCATGCCGTGCCATACCATGCCATGCAGTGCCATGCCATGCCATGCCATGCCATTCTATGCACAAAGATGCTTCTGTGTTCCGTCCCTTGGGTTGGGTTAAAAGATAGACGTGCAAATGCACGAGCAGGGTTGCCTTTGCTTGCTTGCATGTGTGCCTCTCCTACGCACACACACCTCTGCACCACACCACTCACACACACACATGCTCACGGCGTATGCGCAGTGCACACACACACACACATGCTGGAACAAGTGTATGTAGTACGTACATGCATAGCATATGCATGTGTATGTTTTCCCACACACTGAAGCACAGATTCTACATGGTCAGGTGCTCACAGAAGCAAACGTTCAAGCAATGTTCATCCCTGTGTTTTCCTGTTTACTTTATTTTTCACTTTATCACTCTATCATCTTTTCTCAATGTCTGTCCGCCAATCTAACCCTCCAACCCCACCCCTTCCCATAAGCTCTTGCTCCTTTACAACCCCACCCTCTCTCCTCGTTCCCTCTCTCTTCAACCCTCTCTCTTCACACCCCGGCTCGCTCACCCCTCTCCTTCACCCCACTGCGTGTCAACTTGCAGCGATCTGGGGTACAACAGGCTAGCGGGAACTGTTCCTGCAAGCATCACTGGCCTGACTGCCATCACTAGCATGTACTCCTGCTTGCTTTGCTCCCACACACCTCTTGCACGTGCTCTTGCCATACTCGTGCCATGCCATGCCATGCCATGCCATGGTATGTCCAAGCAGTTGGTCTCGTCTCATCTCTTCACCATAGCATGCCACACTGAATGTCTATCCCTGAGTAGGTTACGCACCCACCCCTTCCACAGTCCACCCATTGCCTTCCTTTCACCTCCACTTCGCTCTACTTACTCTGGCGTTCTGCCCCACCCTACACAACCCATCCAACCAACCCTATTCAATGCTTCCCAACCCATCCCAACCCTACCTAATCCAATTCAACCTACCCAACCCCACCTGACCCATCCTAACCGAATTTCTGTGCACGCCCACCCCGCAGTGACCTGAGCAACAACGACCTGTCCGGCCCGCTGCCAACGAGCATCAGCCAGATCACCACCCTCAAGGCCCTGTGAGTGGCTGACTGGCTCTTGAGGGTTCTCTCAAATTGCTAAGGCCCTGTAAGTGGCTGGTTCATGAAGTGTAACTTCAACACCTCAAGGCCCTGTGAGTGGTTGGCTCTTGCGGGTTCTCTCAAATGGCTAAGGCCCTGTGTGAGTAACTGCTCCTTGAGGGTTCCCACCTAAAACGGCCCAACGTCCTGTCAGTGAAAAGCTTCTTAAACGCCTCAAGACCCGGTCAGCACTGCACTGCTCTGCCATCTTCCCTCCCTCCCCTATTTCCTCTCTCCCCCGCCTGCACTCCCCGTTTCCACCTCACTCTCCCCTGCTTCCGTGGGCATGGCTGAGGGTTTGCATATGAACGTGCAAACCGCTCTGCTGTGGATTTTTTTGATACAGTTGTTCTCACTTGTCGTATTCATCCTTTCTTTCCTGCTCCGGTGTAACTTCTCCCTTTTTTGCCTCCCCTCCCTTCACCCCTCCTTTTCCCCCTCCCTTCCCATCTCCCTCCCCCCTCCTTCCCCACTCGCTTCCACCTGCATCCTCTCTAACTGCAGCAATCTGAATGGCAACGAGTTGTCCGGCTCCATACCTTCGCAATACTCCACTCTCACCAATCTTGGAACTCTGTCAGTATTCCACCAACCTACACTACACGTCCTGTCAATGCCCCATACGCATTCTCCCCTGTTAGTGTTAGCCTTCAATCTCACACTTTGTACTTTGTATTTTCTATATCCTAGAGTAGTGTAGTTTGCACATTGTGTTTGGTTGGGTGTACACCTACATCCCAACCAAACCCAAATGTAATCTCCAAGCAATCTCCAACCCACCAATTGGAGATTGCCTTGGGATTACCCCCAATCCCTATGGATTGCCCCCGATTCCCTTCCCCATCCATTCCCTCCCCTTCTTGGATGTAGTTAAAGAGCTTCAAGCTCATTACTAATGTATCGCTTCTAAGCCTAAGTTATGAGATGGTATCAGAGCCCTTCAAACCGCACACGCGGATCGTGATCCTCTTATCTCTGCGGATGTTCGTCCCGCAAACCTCGGCGTAACCGCCTTCAATCTCGTCGCCGTTGATTCTCGACATTCGTGGGCGGAAATTCTTCCGCACCACTTTCCCTTCACTCTCGACGGCATCTACTATCTCACTGGTAAGCGCATCGTCGGCGCTTTAACCTATCGCTCGTTTTCGTCGAACATCATCGCATCATTCCTTCTCCTCGTCGGGCTGTCGCCCGTCGCCCTGCAGCTTCTCGTCGGGCCGCCGCCCGTCGCCCTGCAGCTTCACCTTCGGGCTGCCGCCCGTCGCTCCGCATCTGCACTCCTACCCCCATCCCCCTCCCTTTCCCGCAGCTGAACAGGTGCAGCAGCGCAGCCGAGCAGCAGCGCAGCCGAGCAGCAGCGTAGCCGCGAAGCCGAGCAGCCGTGTAGCCGCGAAGCCGAGCAGCAGCGCAGCCGAGAAGCTGAGGGTGGTGTGTGGGGGGGTGTGTGGGAATAGGATTAGTAGGTAGTTGACACTAAATTGGCGTTTCAGTCGAATTCTCCTTCAGAAACCCTAAACCTCAAAATTCTCTTTCGTAAACCCTAAACCTCCGGTTCTTCAAAATCTCCTTCGGAAACCCCAAACCTCAAGTTCCTATCGTTGACTCAAGAGCGGCGCTCCGCGCGACACCCTAAGGGGTCTCCATCATGGCATTCGCCTCGTCCACCATGGCCAACCCCATCACCCCATTCCGTCTTGACGCCGATGGCTCTAGCTCCAACTTCAAGGCATGGAGCTATGGGGTTGACAAGCACCTGCTGAGCCGTGACGTGCAGGGATTGGACCTCAAGGATGTCCTCCTCAACCGTGGCAAGGGAAAACAGCCCCTTCTCCCTCGCGAGCCGACCGAATCCGCTAGTGAGGCTGACACAAAGGCATATGAGGAAGCCGTTGAGAAGTACCGGAAGTGGGAGAAGGCCGATGCTGCAATTATCAGCGTCTTCATCGCCTCCGCCCCTCCAGAACTTGTCAGCACGTTCCATAACTACCCTACCTCCAACGCCATCTGGAAGTATCTCCAGGATCGGTTTATGAACAAGACTGCAGTCGGAGTTGCCATCCTCATCCCCAGCATGTTCCAGGTCCGCCTTGAGGATTGCTCGGGAATGGCCGACTACATTGCCAAGGTTCAGACCATTCATGGCGAACTCAAGGAGCTGAGTATAGTCTTCCCCGAACAGGCCCCTGCAGCAGCTCTTCTCGTTGGTCTCACCACAACCTATGAAATCACAAGGAAGATGCTCCTCACGCTGACTGCGGAAGACCTCACTTTTGCCAAGGTCTCCACCGCACTCCTCTCTGCCGAGAAAGTCTCCACGGCTCAGGCCAAGGCTTACGCCATCCGTGCTCCCATGCCTCAAGCCAGTGTCGCATCGGCCCTTGCCTCGGCGCCCCTCCAGCGCAACCGCTTCCCACCGTGCACCTACGTCGTCAAGTATGGCAACCGCAAGGGACAAGTGTGTGGTGGCACTAACCACCCCCTTGCTACGTGCTTCAAGAAGAAGGACGACGAATGGTACGCCATCCACGGCATAGACAAGAGGCCACCGAACTGGATGTGTGCGCGCAAGGCCAACCTGGTTGAGGTCCAGGACCCCGCTTCGGCTAGTGCTAGTGATAGTGCTCCTGCTGATGCCCGTATCAACCTGTTGTTCCCTGGCACTGCCATGATTAATGAAGCTTCCTCCCAGTACCTCGGCTCATCACAAGCACCACAATACATAGAGTTCACACTCGACAGCGGGGCCACACACACTGTACTCAAGGAGACACTCTCCTTCAAACCCTACGCAACACCCATCCCTCTCCTAGGAGCTGACTCAAGCTTCACCACTCATGCCAAGGGTTCATCCACAGTCCCGTGCCCCGCCTTCCCTTCCGGCACTGTCACTGGAATGTGCGTGCCTTCACTCCGCCACAATCTCGTGGCCCAAACGGAAATTCAGGAAGCTGGACTACGCACCATCTTCTGGGAGAACGAGAACTATGGTGATATCCTCGACCCACTCACCAACAAGGTCTTGACTCGTTTCACCCTCAACAGCAGCGGCCTTTACACGCTGCAAGTACCCATCCCACAGGTGTCAACCACCCAAACAGCGGCGACTACCTCACCATGCTCGTGCCGCAGTTTCTCCAACCCGACCATACTCTACCACCATCGGCTCGGGCACCCAAACTTCCGCACACTTGCTGACATGGCCTCCAAGAAACTTCTACTCGGCCTGCCAGCCTCACTTCCTCCACCACCAGACTCCCCCGCTCCCACGTGCCTTGACTGCACCAAGAGCAAACTGCGTCAACAGCCCCACCCGGCCTCACCCTCTGTCGCAGCAGGACCACTGGACCTGGTACACCTGGACGTCTGGGGCCCTGCCCCTGTTCCCGCACGAGGTGGTTATCGCTACTTCCTTGTTATCGTCGATGACCACTCTCGCTACGTCTCTGTTCACCTCCTCCACACTAAGGCTGCGGTTCCAGAGGTCCTCATGGCGTGGGTTAAACAGGCACAGACCGCCTTTGACCGCAAAGTCAAGCGCCTCCACTCAGATGGTGGTGGTGAGTTTTGCAACGACAAGCTCAAAGCCTTCTGCTCTTCATAAGGCATCCAGCAAAACTTCACCCTCCCTGACAGCCCGCAGCAGAACGGGATAGCTGAGAGCCGCAACCACACCCTGGTGCAGATCACTCGGTGCCTCCTCAGCCACTCCAACGCTCCACACTCTCTCTGGGGGTACGCTCTCTACCACGCCGCCCTCCTCTACAACCTTTACCCCCACCCGCATCTTCCCGACACCACTCCAACCACACTCTGGCTCGGGAAAACGCCCACTGCTCGCTCTCTTCGCGTTTGGGGGTGCACCGCCTATGTCCTCCTCAACCCTCAGGCTCGACGGCAGCACGGCGGCAAGCTCGGTCCCAAGACCCAGACATGCATCTACCTCGGACACAACGCCGACTCGCCTGACTACCTCTTCCTCAATCCCTCCACTCAGCAGTTGGTCCGGAGCCGCGACGTTGTCTTTGATGAGACCCGCCCATTCTACTCCACTTCGGGACGGGACCCTCTCCCTGACCCACCCTCCCTCGTGTGGGCAGACTTTGATGCGCCTCCTGACCTCTCGCCTGCTCCGGCCCCTTCACCCCCTACCCCTCCTGCCACCGCACCGTCCCCCTCTGCGGTCTCTGACCCGCCCTCACCGGTGTCTTCGGCAGCTGCTCCTCCATCCCCCTCACTTCCCACTCCGCCGACTGTGCAGCCACCTCCGAGCGCACCTATCACCTACCATCGGCGGTCCCACCCTCCGGCCCCACCTCCTCCCCCGGTTCCCCCCACCACAGAGGAACCCGCTCTCCCACAGTCGCCCGAGCTGATCACGTACCACCGGCGGCCCATTCCCCCGCCCAAGCCTCCTAAGTCAACCCCTCCGACACCGCCTGCCCCACCCTCTTCTCCGGTGGCTCATGGCACTCGTTCGCATGGCGCGGCTCTTCCACTAGCGCTGGTTCTTCGATACACGGCGATCACACCGCCTCCTCCTGCTGGGGGGGATGTGCCCTCTACCCTTCTGGAAGACAGGCATGAGGAGCTGTGTGATCTTCATGCAGTCATTCCTCAGCTCTCGCACATCTTCCCCGACATCACTGACTCACCCTCCCTCAACTTCGCGGAGAACCCGACCATCCCTATCCCTCTCACCGTCCAAGAGGCTCTCTCAGGCCCTCATGCTGCCGAATGGCGTGCTGCCATGGAAGCGGAGATTGCAGCATTCACCCGCAACCACTCCTTCGACGACGAGACACCACCTCCAGGAGTCAACATCGTCGGGGGCAAGTGGTTGTTCCGTGTAAAACAGCTCCCAGACGAGGCCCCGGTGTTCAAAGCGCGTTACGTAGCCAAGGGCTTCACCCAGCAGCAGTACCGCGACTTCTTCCTAACCTTCTCCCCCACATCCAAACCTCCTACCATTCGTACGCTCATGGATGTCGCAGCTCGAGAAGACTTTGAGATCAAATCCATGGATGCCTCATCCGCCTTCCTACAAGGACGTCTCAAGGAGACGGTGTTCATGGACAGACCAGAAGGCTTCCCAGGAGAATTCCCTCCCAACACTGTCTGGAAGCTGAATCGCCCGGTCTACGGCCTTAAGCAAGCCCCTCGCGAATGGCACAACAAGGTGAAAGAAGTCCTCCTCTCCCTGGACTTCCACCCTTCAACTGCTGACCCGACTCTCTTCATCCGCCGTCACTCTGAGCCATTCTACATCTTGGTCTACGTGGATGATTTCATCCTCGTTGCCAAGGACTCGGCCCAGATGACCTCTGTCCAGGCAGCCCTGAGCAAGGCTCTCCAGATGAAAGACCTCGGTGACCTCAAGCACTACCTGGGGATGGAGATCACTCGTGATCGCCAGGCTCGCACCATTTCACTCTCCCAGGAGTTCTACATCGACAATGTGCTCAAGCGGTTTGAGATGGAGCTGTGCACACCTGTTGCCACCCCGCTGCCGCTGCAACACCTCCTCACTGCTCCAGCTGTACCCACACCAGAGGCCTGCTCTAAGCCATACCCGGAGCTTGTTGGGTCCCTCATGTACGCCATGATGTGCACCCGACCGGACTTGGCCTATCCTGTCAGTGTCCTCTCTCGCTACGTGGCCCCTGGACGCTTCACTGATCTTCACTGGAAGGCGGCGAAGCGGGTGCTGCGCTATCTTCAGGGCACCAAGTCTCACGTTCTCACACTCGGTGGGCTCTCCCCTCCGCGCCTGGAAGGTTACACCGACTCCTCCTGGGCTGATGACCAGACCGACCGACGCTCCTCTCAGGGGTACTGCTTCACCCTTGGGAGCGGAATTGTCAGTTGGCGCTCCACCAGGTCGTCTGCAGTCTCCCTCTCCTCCTGTGAGGCAGAGCTCTACCCAGGCACCATGGCTGCTCAGGAGGCCCGTTGGCTCACCTTCCTACTCCAGGAGCTTGGTTTCCCACAGTCCGCCCCCACCCTCTGGTGTGACAACCAGAGTACCATCCACATCTCTCAAGACCCTGTGTATCACACCCGCACCAAGCATATTGAACTTCGGCACTTCTTCATCCGTGACCTTGTCCAACAGGAGCAGCTGAAAGTGGAATACGTTGCATCTGACTGCAACCTGGCTGATCTGTTCACCAAGCCCCTTGGGAAAGTTCCCCACCACCGTCTCCTAGGCGCCATGGGGCTCTGTGCACCACCCTCTCTACCATGAGTTCGATTGACGCCTATGGGGGGGTGTTAGTGTTAGCCTTCAATCTCACACTTTGTACTTTGTATTTTCTATATCCTAGAGTAGTGTAGTTTGCACATTGTGTTTGGTTGGGTGTACACCTACATCCCAACCAAACCCAAATGTAATCTCCAAGCAATCTCCAACCCACCAATTGGAGATTGCCTTGGGATTACCCCCAATCCCTATGGATTGCCCCCGATTCCCTTCCCCATCCATTCCCTCCCCTTCTTGGATGTAGTTAAAGAGCTTCAAGCTCATTACTAATGTATCGCTTCTAAGCCTAAGTTATGAGATCCCCTTCTCCTCTTACCCCCTTCTCTCCTTCTCCATTTCTCCCCTTCCTCCCTCCTCCTCTCCCGTCACTGCTGCTCCTCTGCCTGCTTTCATTCTCACCTACTCCTCTGTCTCTGTCTCTCTCATTCCCCGTCTATGTCTATCTTATGCTCTTCTTCTTTTTCAGCTGTGCATGCTGTTTATGAGCCCCATAACGCCCCTTACGCTGTCGCCCTTCACCCCACTACCCATCTCTGCCCCCTCTCTCTGTGTCCCCTCTCTTTCTCTGCCCCCTCTCTCTGTGCCCCCTCACTCTGTGCCCCCTCTCTATACCCCCTCTCTATACCCCCTCACTCTGTCCCCTCTCTGTGCCCTATCTCTCTACACCCCCTCTCTACGCATTCTCTCTACGCCCTCTCTACGCCCCCTCTCTATTGGCTCCCCACAGCAAGCTCTGCTGCAACAAAATTAGTGGCACCCTGCCCGATATTCTTGGAGGGCTGTTGAAGCTGGAAACACTGTGAGTGCACTCTGCTCCTCTCTCTGCTTCATGCCATGCGAGTGACTGGATTGCTGCCAGCAGTATTGTGTTGCCACTGTTCCTTGCTCGAACGTTTTGTCTTCCCGTGCCGCAGCAACAACACACAACTATGTTGCGCTCTCTGTGAGCGATTGCACACCATATGTAAGCCCCCCCTCTCATATCCTCCTCTTTAATACCTCTGCCCTCATCCCCTCTCACATCCTCTCTCGCCTCTCTCTCCCTGCAGTGACCTGAGCAACAACCGTCTGCATGGAACTCTTCCCACTCAATTCACCGGCCTTGTCCGTCTCACCCTCCTGTGCGTCTGCCCACCCCGCATCATCCCATCCACTCTCCTCTCCCGTGTGTCCTTCCATGATCCCATCGCTCCCGTGCGTCCTCTCACCTTTCCACTCGTCTTGTGCAATTTCATCTCCTTTGTCTTGTGCGACTCCTCTCCCGTGTGCATCACCTTCAGTTTTTGTTTCCCCTTTCTCCCATCCTCCCCAACTCCACCTCAACAACGGACTGAATAGTCCGGCCTGTACCATTTCTTGTATCAATTCCACAAAGAGGAAGGGGAATTCGTTAAGGGCTTACACATGGTTGTTTGTTGGGGAGGAAAAGGGGCATGCTTGGGATCATCATGCTTGGTCAATGATGAGCCTTTATAATGGGGTTTCCAGTCATCTCCCAACCAAAACCTTGGGATTCGAATTATTGGGCCAAGGTTGAATTTCAAACCTCAACTGGGCTACTTCCAGTCCTTCAATCGAATTAGGTTTGGATGCTTAAGTGCACCGAGATGTAGTCTGTATGCAAAAGATGTATGTGATATTTTGACATTTGTGAGGCATTTTATAAGTTTTGTAATACATTTTCCCTTGTCCTCCCTCGCTTTCCAACTCTTCCCCTACAACTCCCAATCCCCCTCACAGCAACCTGCGCAACAACCAGCTGACAGGCCCCGTACTGCAGCCCATCCCAGCAACCCTCACCTCCTACAATCTCGATCTCAACTACTTCTCCTCAGGCTTCTCCTCCCCACCCAACTGCTCTCAAGGCTCCATCTCCTTCCGCTTCAACTGCCTCCTAACCCAAGGCTACGCCTGCCCCACGCCTGCCACGCCCTCTGCTGAGGCTGCAGCAGTGCAGCGGCCAGAAGTTCTCTGTTCTGTTTTTTGCGGCGTGAGTGCTGCCGATCCCCCGTGTGGCGGGCATGGCTCGTGCTATGCGGCCGGCCCAAACAAAGTACCCACGTGTGACTGTGATCCCGGGTTTGTCAACGGAGAGTTGCCTGGAAGCTGCGTCCCTGAAGGAAGTGAGTGAAGGGGGGGGGGGGAGAATGTTAGGGATGCGGGGAGTGAGTGATGAGAGGGGAGTGATGGGGATGAGGCTAGTGAGGGTGGTGAAGGGGACTGTGCGACTACTGAAGTCTGGGGTATTGAAGACTATTGAAGTATTCAGCAAGCAAAGCTCTTTCTCTTCCCATCACTGCCCACGCTGCTTCACGCTCCACGCTGCTTCACTGCCTGCTTTACCCCTCTGCACACGCCTTCCTGTCTCTTCACCCACTGCATGTATGTTACTGTCCTCTCGTTCCCTGACCCTCCCCCCTCCCTCCCCCTCTTCCCTTTACTCCAGGCCTGCACTGTGGCCCTTCCCCCTCATCTTTCAAAGCATTCCCACATTCATCTGTCTTTGTCCTTCCCTACTCATTTGTCCTTTCCGTCCACTTGCTCCCTGCCCTCACTCTCTTTACCCGCCAGGCATGCCAGGCAATCCAGTTGGCATTGTGCCACAGCAGCGCAGATAGAAGTCAAAGGGAAGGCTGCATCACGACCTCTCGCCTGCCTCTCACTGCTCTCCTGTACTTCCGTTTTCTTGCTCCCTCCTTGCCCACGCTCTCTCCCCGTTTCTGTCAGGTGTGCCGGGCGACCCAGTGGACATTGTGCCGACAGCAGCACAGATAGAAGTCAAAGGGAAGGCGGCAGTAGCAACTGACAGCACCATCACGCTCACAGACTCACAGCCCAACATATGGGGCGCAGCGTTTTACAAAATCCCTGTCGCGCTCTTCTCCTTCTCCCTTAAAGCTGGTTCATGCGGCCGGCCATTCGCCTTCACCGTCTATTTCTCCTTCTCCATTCTCAAACCAACCACCGCCAACGCTGGATCAGAAGCAGGGGACGGGTTTGCGTTTGTGATTGCAGCCAGTGACACTTTAACAGGCGGTAGCAGCGGCAGCAGCGACGGCAGTGGTGGCAGCGGCAGCTTGGGGTATGCAGGCATGGATGAGCGCAGCATAGCCGTGGAGTTTGACACTTCTAAGAGCACCGATGCCAACGACCCAGACAGCAACCACGTGGGGCTCAGCGTTAAGGGCAAAACCACTTCCATCGCAACTGCCAAAGCAGCCCTCACTCTCAACGACGGCATTCCAAAACATGCCTGGGTTGTCTTCGACCCCTCTCCTTCCTCCTCTTCTTCCTCTAGTTCTGCCAGTGGTGCCAGCACCGCTACCACTAAAGGCACGGGCTTGCTGCAAGTGTTCCTCTCAACCAGCGCGTCCCCCCATCCGAGCAAGGCAGTGCTGTCTGTGCAGGTGTCTCTGTGCCAGTACCTGAATCCCACCAAACAGGATGATTCGTTCCTCATGGGCTTCTCTGCTTCTACATCAGCTTCCCCGCAGCAGCACTCCATCCTTGCCTGGAACATCAACGCAGGTATTTTCTTGCTGCACCACTCCCTGCTCCCTGCTTACATGTCCATCAATAAATTTCATATCCTTCATTGGTTACATGCCCTTAACTGGTTACATGTCCTTCACTGGTTACATGTCCTTCAATGGTTACATCTAGACATGAGCAAAAATCCGAACGCCTGTTTGGTTCGTCCAAACATGTTCGTGACAGAACCGAACCGAACATTATTTTTTGCCACAAATGTTCGGCTGAACATGTTTGATGTTCGGCCGAATATGTTCGATGTTTGGAAGGGGGGGGAGGGAGGCCACGGGGGAGGAGCAGGCCCACTGAAAACACACTCTCGAACCTCGAACATGTTCGGGTTCGCCCCGAACATGCAGTGTTCGCGCCCGTATCACGAACACCGAACACCTAAAATCGCCAAAACATGTTTGGGCGAACCGGACATGTTCGGTTCACCCACAAGACATGTTCGTGGAGGTTCGCGCGAACATGTTCGGTGTTTGCCCGTTGCTCATGCCTAGTTACATCTCCATTGTTACTTGGCCAGGTGACGCAACACAAACCATCCCCTTACCTGCCTCATCTCACCTCTCTTCACTGTGCTTTCTTTTCTCCCCCCTCTCCTTCCATCATCCGTTCTATCCAGGCCTGCCAGAAACAACCACTCTCAAAGGTATGGATGATCTATACTGGCTTAAAAATTTCGGCTTGACTCTATAGCCTTCCTTTCTGGTTGCTCGAAGTTCTTCTCTCCAAATCTCCAATCTCTCTGCCGGCACCCCAGTCTTCTGCCCAATCGTTGATCCAGCATTTCCATAAACTTCTCCTCACACAATCCCTCCTACTGCACTGCACTAGCCATGACCTGTTGAGTGATAGCATTCCTGATTATTGAAAACACTGGTATTTATCTTTGGTAAGCTTCTTTGCATTCTGATATCTTGGCTCTCAGTGATCAAGGCTCATTGCCCTTTTCAAAAGTGATACAACGCACATTGTAAGGGCTTATCATTCCGGTCAACCCCTCTTTCCATCCACCTTGGTCTAACGTAGTGTTTGTTTCCTGATTCCCTTTTATTGCATCTCAGCCCATCTTGCACTACACTTACTTCTGATTCATCCATGATCGCCATTAGAAGCATGGCCACCTCAAATTCCATCTGAAGTTTGTCCATAACCATCCTCCCTCTCCTATCCAACCCCTATCTACCGCACCCTACCCATCCCTACACTCTCCTCCCCCCAGGCCAGCAGTTTGGGTTCCAACTGAGCGAGGCATCCCTAAAGCCAGTGGGGGCTAATCCTTTCTTCCGCTATGCCAGTGGGGGCGTGCAGCCTCTTCAGGCGCCAGGAACAGCAGCAGGAGGAGAAGCAGGAGGGGCAGGAGGCGGGGAGGATGAGGAGGTGTGGGTTGTGAGCCAGGCGTTCTCCTGGGCTGACCTGGGCCTCCCTTGGCCTGTCAAGAACCAGGGACCCTGTGGTGAGGGCGTGCTAATGGGAACTGGGTGTGGAGGGGTGGGACGGGATAGAAGATGGTGTGGAAGAGGGATGGGATAGGGATGGCCCACTGGGGTTAGGGGGGGGTGGGGGAGAGAGGAAAAGAGTGTCGCAGGGTGGTGAGGATATATTGTTGTGGGTTGTTCCAAGCTTTCTCTTCCTCTTCTCGCATTCACCTTCACTCTTCCCCACCCTTCCCCTTCACCCTTCCCTCGCAGTCCATTCCCTCTCCCCATTCCGTAACTGCTGGGCGTGCGTATGTGGTGATAGCAGCATAGAAACACCCTACAACATCCTCCGTCGTCCCTTTTCCCACCCCTCCTCTCTCTCTCTCAGGCGACTGCTGGGCGTACGCAGTGGTGGGCAGCATAGAGATGGCATACGGAATCCTCTCCAACCTCACTGCCGTGCCGCTCCTCTCCGTCATTCAACTGCGAGACGCCCTCAGCTCCTCATGCTCACAAGGCAACTCGCCCTCCCAGGCCTTCCAGTATCTCATCACTCTCAATGCCAAGGCCAACATTGGGCTGACGGAGGAAGGGAAGGGGGGGGTGGTGGTGAGCGGGGGCAGGGGCAAGAAAAATGGCAGCAGCGGCGCGAGCCCGCTCTGTGGCATGCCTGTCTTTGCTCAACTTGTGAAAGTGTTTGGCATCTCCTGCGGCAATGGCCGGACCCCTGGAACGGTGAGGCTATGTTTCTTATCTTTGTCTCCCTGTCTTTTCCGATTTCCTACATTTTCATCTGGGTTAGCGTTGAGTAATGCATACTAGCAAAATCGTTTCGACTAGAACATGCACAGCTTTGGGTCAAACCGTTCGGTTCGGTTCGACTTGGGGTGTCAAGCCGCGAGTGCACGATCAAGGCGATTAGAGGAAGAGACTGCGCATTTGCAAGGATTTCCGAGTTTGCTCTCACATATCAAGACATGTTTTTGCCAAACCAAGGCTGCATACAGTTTGGTTTGGCAAACCAAGAATGGGCAAAGGCGTGGCCACATTAGGGCATGCCTCATTTTGTGTCAAGGTCACTGTTTGTATCATTTGAGAATATTGGTGCCCGGGCATTCCAATCTAGCAATATCCAGTCTAGATTCATGGGCTCCAAGGTTTTCGGATGACACAAGCAGTATCCTTGACACAAAGATGACTTTGTTTTGCAACTCGTACTATGAGGGTTGACAGCATCTTGATTATTGACAAGCAGAGCAACTACTACGTGGTATGGGGATCACATGCGATCACAAGCTGAGCGGACATCTTTTTTGGGATCTGTTCAGAGAGGTGCTGTCTTCCTTTCCTGATAGTGCCTCCCTTACCCACCTTCCCTGCCTCACATCTCATACCGCTCCTTCCTTACCCCTCCTCCCTGACCCTCCTCCCCTGCCCCCTCCGCAGAGCAAGCTATCGGGGGGGCCATTCAGAGTGAACGGGTTTGAGCGCACATCATTCCACGGCTGGTTTGGGCTGCTGCTGGCCGTGCAGCGACAGCCCGTGGTGGTGCATGTGCAGGCCACCGCCCCCTCCTTCCTTAACTATGATGGGGTGAGCATGAGTGCACATGGACCAAGGTGGTTGCCCCTTCCTTGCTCAACCATGATCGGATCAGTCCACTCAACACACACACACACACACACACACACACACACACACACACTCACTCACTCACACACACACACACACGCAGAAATGCACGGCACACACACGCACACACACGCACGCACGCACACACACACAAACAAACACACACACACAAACACACTCAGGAGTCAGAACCCCTTTCAATCCCCCCCCAGCTATCCAAATATGCGGACCCAGAGTGCTTCACGTACAACCTGAACCACGTGGTGCTGCTGGTGGGCTATCGCCTCACCGGCTCAGACCCCACCTTCCCGCACATGGCGCCGCCCTTCTGGATCATCCGCAACTCATGGGGCCCGGAGTGGGGCGACGGCGGGCACATGCGGATGGACATCCAGGGGGGCGACGGCGTGTGTGGGATCAACACGCTGCCTGGGATCTACCCGGTGGTGCGCGCTACTGCCGACCCGTGCAATGTGAACGGCACCACCAGGGAGGAGTTTGGATCGCTGTTCAACCCGTGTGGCAACTTCACGTGCACTGTTGATGGAAGCAGCAACCGCTGCGATTGCAATGACCCGCGATTCGTGGAGGCTCGTAATCCCGACAACACGCGCACCTGTGCTTACAGTGAGCATTTTTTTATGCGTTTGCCCTTGATAGAACTCTGCTGCTATTCAGTATTCATTACGGATGAGCATGACCATAATTCACCAGGCCCCTTGTCTGTAACGCTTTCCCAGAACCTTAGGTCGATACTAGTGCCCCTCCAACACCTCCCCTCATATGTGTTAGCCTTGAACCACAAAACGTTCTATGGTGCACAATAGGATTCGAGCTCATAACATTTAGCTTTGTTACCTTGTTGATATTCATTCTCTATCCACTTAGCTAGAATGTCCTCTTTCATAGTGGGTGGGCACTGCCATAAACCTCAGGCTAGACATGGGCAACGCGGTGAGTAACGAGTCTTGCCCAAAACCGGGACCATGATTATCCGTGTCTAGTTGCTTTCAAAAGCGGGTAAAAGCGTACTGTCGAAGTGCTTTTTTACTTGTCGCACAACATGACTGGCACACGACTTGGTAGCGGGGATTCAAAATTGATCAGAATCTTGTTGGCAGGTCAAAGGCTTTGTTTATTGGCAACATTTCGAGTTTTTTCACAGCTGAATGGAGTTTTTTTTTCAAGCAAAGTTTACTGTGCGAGTGTAACAACCGTGGGCCCTTATAGATATGGGCAAACGGGAATCAATAGAATCTTCCTTAGAATATTATGAAAGTTACAAGGCTTTTAAGATCTACAAGCCTTAAACTGCTCTTGATGGTCTTGGGAGAACTTGACGTTGTTGAAAAATGTTAACCCAAGAAGAGTCAATCAAACTTAGTTGCATAGAGAGAGTTGTGAGAGGAGCAGCAAACCTAGAAAGAAAATCTCATTTTCAATGTGTTAATTGTAGTTGGAAGGTGAAGAATGAGCTTGTTTACTCAAACCCCCTCGATAGACCCCTTAGAGAGCTTCAACTATGGCTTTCATGGTGAAGAAGCTTCTAGACTTTTAGCCTATGTGGCATTCATTTTTGGTTGGGAATTCCCAATTTAGCATATGGTTGTTTTATAGTTTGTGTGGATTGTTGTAACCACATCTGGCAAGCTCTATTTTTTTTGGAATTCCAACCATTGGTTTTCCAACTAAATGTGTTGGAAGTTCCCAAGACTCAAGGTTGAGGGTTGAAGAATCCAAACCAACCTTTCGCTCCCAGCCTGACCAACTCTTCTCCGGTAGGTCACTTTCTGTCGAGACTCATCTCGACGTCGACTAGTAGGCTAGCTAGGCAGTGCGTACAGCGAATAACGAGTCCGGCGAGGGTAAACATCACTCGTAATACACGCCTCACTTTGTTGCTCCAACGAGGCAATAAAAAAACGTGTACTGCATGCGTAATCTTCTCTCACATGCATGTGACCCTTCATTCCTACCACCTGTGCTACCGCTCAGTGCCTTGATCAGGATAAACGTGGTTTCCTTCCACCTGTGTTAGTAAACTTGTACCTACCTCCTTTGTTCCCTTGGGTGTTGTGGTTGGTAGCTTTACACCAGACTATGTGTTTGATATGTCTCATGCTTTACACCATAAGCGTTCAGTCTCCTCAAAGTACGATCCTCTTGGCTGTTTCTCTCTCTTACCTCTTGTCTTGTTCCGCAGAGGATGCATGCAGGGCAGCGGTGCGCAATCCGTGTGCGGTGGGCACGTGTGTGAATGATGGCAAGGGGTCGTACTCGTGTGTTTGCCCTCCCGGCTTCAAGCAAGGCACCACTGTTGATGGCACTTTCTCCTGTGGTCCAGGTAACATTCTCCTGTGCTTCGAGTAACCTTCCCCTGTCTTACATGTAGAATTCTTTTCTTGCACTCCATATGTATCTCGTGTCTGAAGTCCACTTGTTTCCACTCTTTCTCAAAGTAAGCTACCACCATGTTTGGCCTTTCACGTTGCAATGCTACACTATGCCACCACACAGCTCGTTTTGAGGCACGTCAAGAAGTGCTCTTGTCTCGACTCCTTTTCATGCCATGTTGCCACCAACTAGGCAGTGCGTTCAGTTCGCCATGTTGCATCTGCCCCTCACCTCACCTACCCCTACCCCTCCGCACCCCTACCCCTACCCCTACCCCTACCCCTACCCCTACCCCTACCCCTACCCCTACCCCTACCCCTACCCCTACCCCTACCCCTACCCCTACCCCTCCGCACCCCTACCCCTACCCCTGCCCCTCACCTACCCCTCCGCACTCACCTCCATGTCGTCTCATAACCAAATAATTGTAACCATTCGCACTTGCGAACACCATGCACCACTCGGCACCCCGCTGCACCGCACTGCCAGGCGACTCCAGCAGCAAGTACACGGTATTGTTGGAGGGGCTCACATGTGCAGACATCCACCCCGTGTATGGGCTCTCTCTCGCCCAGCTTCAAGCCCAGAACCCGGTGAGGCCAGTTGGCAGTTACAAGCCCAGGATGCAGTGTTGCCTTGCTTTTGTGATATGACTAGACAGTTTTTTTCAAATCTACTTGCTGCAATCCTCCAGTCTCAGAACACCATGAGGTCAACTTTACAACCACAACACGGTGAGTGGTTGCTTTGTATGTTTCCTGTTGAGGCTCCTCGTTGCATTCCCATGCCCTTCCTTTCCCACTCCGGCCGATCTTTTCAATCGTGCTGTACAGTGTGATCGAGTTGGCGATCGTGCGCTGTCCTGCGCAGGCCAGGGCAATCATGTCACTCTGTTGTGTTGCAATCGTGCGCACTGTGCGTGCTCGCAACAGTGCGAGGCACACGAGCGGGCCATGTGGGGCCACACGCGAGATCAGGACCCCACGGGCCGCTTTCGATTTTTGCGCACTTTTGCCTTGACCGGCACAAAAAGGTCGAGGACCCAAATGGCAAATATCGAGCCCCTCATGAACACTCGGTGTTCGCCTTGAGGACTCATGAGTCATCATGAGGCCCACCTTCTTCATCAAAACCCATGATCGTTCATGAGAATTCATGAAAATACATGAGCTTCATGAATCTTCGTGACTTGTCATGAGATCAGACAAAAACGGCTGAAAAAAAACACACAAAACATACAAAATGTGGGACGATATGCGAGCCGTTGGTTGACGTCCTGGAAGCATATTTGCACCCAACAAAAATGTATGAGGGTAAGCTAGAAAGTTGTTTTTCGACGAATTGGGAGTGGGTGCGAATTACACTCCCTCACCCCACATAATATCCTATACCCCCACCTAGGTTCTTTCTACCCGATGCTTTTTATTTTGTCTGCCCCTTTTTTTTTGCATGCCCACCCAAGCGCCCAGTGTCAATGACGCTTGACGTGTCAAAACCATAATATTCCCCCTCCCCACCAACCCATGAGTTGCGTCATGGATTTTTTTTAGTTTAACTCATAAGTCTCCCTTCCCACAACATTCCTCCCCCCGTCCTTCCTCCACTCCTGCGTCCCCTCCAGGATCTCAGCTGCAGTGCTCCTCTCGCTGTCGGCACGGTGGTGAACGTGGTCCAGCCAAACGACCTCACGCCCTGCTCCGTCTACTACACCACGTCCGAGGTATGCTCCCTCCCTCCTCTCCTTGTCTGCCTACCTGGCCCCCTCCATCCCCCCTACCATCCCTCCCTCCACTTCTCACTCTCTGATCCATCCGTCCCTCCGTCCGTCCGTCCTTCCGTCCGTCCCTCCGTCCCTCCCTCCCTCCCTCCCTCCCTCCCTCCCTCCCTCCCTCCCTCCCTCCCTCCCTCCCTCCCTCCCTCCCTCCCTCCCTCCCTCACGGATCGTTGGAATGTGGCCAGCTTTTTGGGTATGCAAGTCACACGCGATAAGATAGCTTGCACCATTACCCTCTTGCAAAGTTTTACATCTCCAATGTACTCAAGCGAACAGACATGCGGGATGCAAAACCCATCCATACCTTCGCTACAACACCAAATCGCTGCATATTCAGTTTATTCGCCTGAGTCTACTGACAAGCCCTATCCTGAGCTCGTGTACTCTCATCGATTGTACTCGACCAATGATGCGCACTCAGCCAGATCCATTCAGTGCACTCTTGCGCTACATCGCTCCTGGTCGTTCTATTCATCAGCGTTGGACCGCTGCCAAACAAGTATTTTGTCATCTCAAAGCAATTCACAATCATGTCCTCACTCCTTGGGTACCTTCCCATGTTCACCAGGAGGATTACAGAGACCTTTTTTGACACCCCTCTCATCCTTCCCCCTGTTCCCCGCCTGCTCATCTCCTCTCTTATTTTTCTCCCTCGTCCTCCCGTCTCCTCTCCCCCTTTCTCACACCCATCCCCCAGGGTGACACATGCGAGTCGTTAGCCGCCTACTTCTCCCTTACCGCCGGTTGCCCCGAGCACACCGAGCCTCCCACCTGCGCAGCAGCCTTCCAGGCGCTCAACCCCGGGCTGGACTGCTCTGGGGGCACCAGCAGCAATGGAGAGCTGCCGCCCAGCCAGGCGGTGTGTGTGGAGCGGCGGGCGGAGAGTGCAGCGGCGCTGCTCATCCCGGTGTGCTCGCAGTTCTATCTGGTGCAGGCCGGGGAGACGTGCGACCAGATCCGCTCCGTGCCCTCCCCGCCGCTCTCCCCTCTCGAGTTCTTCCGCCTCAATCCCGGCATCAAGTGCAGCCGCCTCGTGCCCAAGACTGACGTCGGCAGCCTCACAGGCTTCGAGGTTTCCCTCTGCTCTCCTCTTCGTCCCCACTACCCTCTCCACTGTCGTATCCTCACATCACTGCATTCTATCCTTCCTTTCTTCTCGCTCTCCCCACTCGTTGTGTCCTCTCCTCTTGCCTCTCATTTCACAAATGCTGCTGATTTGTTCTAAGGTTCCCACCTAGTTTCACCTGCGGCCATGCCTGTTCCATGCATTTCCGTGACATTCACTCGTTTGTGTCCTCTCCTCTTGCTTCTCATTCTCACAAATTCTGCTGATTTGTTCGATGCGTGGCTGTTGTTTCTTTCTCGGCCTCCAGTCCACACCTGCAAATCACACCTGCAGATCACACCTGACTCTCTCAACCTCTCTCCCCCCCTCCCTCCGCCCTCTTCCTCCTCCCCACGCACTCTTGACTGCACGGCAAGAGCAGGCGTGCATAGGCAGCTCGTTCAGCTTCACGCAAGGAGTGTGCCCCAAGACTCGCGCGTACGTGGTTGGGACTGGCGACCGCTGCACTGGCCTGCAGGTCAAGTACTTCCGTGGGATCAAAGGGTGTTACAGGAAGACCAACGGCTACGATTGCATCGATAAGCTCGTCAAATCCACCAGAGTGTGCATTCCAGACCAAGTAAAGATCAAGGCCGGGAAATGCGAACCCTGACATGGTGATTGTTTTCATCGACACAATCTCTTGTTTGTAGAATCAGTCTGCCACATTCGCTTAGTCCCTGGCTCTCAGAATAGGAATGCAACGGAATGAATGAAACTAGGAAGTGTGGAAGTACAAATATGCAACCCTAACAACTGTACTCCCTATTGTGCTACTCACTGTAGCCTACAAGCATAGAATTACATTTGACACACCCCCATAGGCTAAGTGAGGGGCATCAAAGCAAGCAAGGTGAACAAACGGTCACAAGACCAGTCAAAGCAAGAAACAAGGCAAGCTCAGGGTGGATCTCAAGGACACCACACCACACAAATTCCGAGCGCAAGCAAGTGGCCACAAGGCCAGTTCAAGAGTTCACTAGGATATAAATAGGAAGCACAACAAGTAGAGCAAACAACAAGACTACAGCAACCGAGGGCCTACCTCAACAAGCCCCAACTGCACACAGAACCTGTGGTGAACACCAAGCGCCAAGGCCTTGGTGAAGACGTCTGCAGTGTTGGCCTCTGAGGCCACAAAGTCCAGGCGTGCCTGGCCGCGTCGCTGCAGCTCTCGCAGAAGGAAGTACCTCACGTCAATATGCTTCACTCTGCTCTCCAGTCGAGGCTCTCGACACAGGAGGATCATGGCCTTGTTGTCAGCGTACAAGGTCGGTGCAGAGCGAGGCCGCTCACCAAGGTCGGCGAGCAAGAAGTTCAACCAGCGAAGCTCCTGTGCCGCCATGGCACCAGCGTAGATCTCTGCCTCTGCACTGGAAGTAGCCACAGACGACGACCGTGTAGACCTCCACGACACAGCACCAGCTCCCAGACTGAAGCAGTAACCCTGAGTCGAGCGCTGAGTCTCCACGTCGTCAGCGTAGGAAGAGTCGCAGTGACCAGTCAACGCCACTGGCTGAGTCCCTCCAAGCACAAGCCCCATGCCTGATGTAGTCGCCAAGTACTTCGCCACCCTCACAGCAGCTGTCCAGTGGACAGGGCGGTGTCTCCCAGTCGCAACAAAGCGAGAAAGGATGCTGAGGGGAAAGGCGAGGTCCGGTCGAGTCCAAGTCATCAGGTACATGAGGCAGCCCACCAGCTCTGCGTAGGGTCCACTGGACTCGAAGGGCTCGTCAGGAAATGGGCCTGTGAGTATGTGGTCAACAGCAAGAGGAGTGGGCTGTGTGGTGGAGAACTGGAAGTCGAACCGCCGAAGGACCTGCTGCACCATGTGTGACTGCGTCAGTGTGATGGTGCGAGCGGCTCTGTCCCGGGTGATCTGCAGGCCAAGGTAGCGCTGCAGCTCACCCAGGTCAGTGCACTTGTGTCTCTTCTGCAGTTCGGACTTCACCTGAGCCAGGGCTGCCCTGTCAGCTGTAGCAAACACCAAGTCGTCGACGTAGACAAGGATAAAGAAAGGAGTAGAACCCGCTCGAACAAACAGCGACGGGTCGGCGGAGGACGGGCTGAACCCAAGGTCACGAAGCGTGGAGCGAAGAGTGTCGTGCCACTCACGGGGCGACTGGCGGAGACCGTAGACTGGTCGCCTCAGGCTCCACTGGGTCCCAGGTGGGAAGGTGTCAGTGAAGCCAGGAGGACGGCGCAGCCAGATCTCCTCGTGCAGTCGGCCCTGGAGGAACGCAGTGGAGAAGTCGAGGGAGTGCAGCTTGTAGTCTCGCTGCGCTGCTATGTGGAGTAACACCCGAAGAGTAGTCATCTTCGGGGTCGGGGCGAAGGTCTGGAAGAAGTCAACTCCCTCACGCTGACTGAAGCCCCTAGCCACGTAGCGCGCCTTGAACACCGGCGGTGCTCCAGGCGGCCGCTTCACCTTGAAGAGCCACATGCCATCGACTACGTTCGCCCTGGGAGGGGGAACTGCGTCGACGTAGGTGCTTGTGGATCTCCAAGACGCCAACTCTGAGTCCATAGCCGCTTTCCACTGAGAGGCCCACGCCCCTGACACTGCCTCGCGGTAAGTGCGAGGAGTCGGTATGTCAAGGGCGTCGGGGTCTCCCTCAGGGGAGAGCAGCATGGCACACACAGAGGGAGAAGCGGCTGCCCAGTACTCCAGCTCAGACTCTCTGTCCTCTAGGACGTCACAGCCAAGGGCAAACCCACCCCCGACGGACAGAGGACGGTAGGGAGGAGCTGGCACCACCCGGGTGGCGTAGTCAAGGCGGCTGGCGGCAGCAAACTCAGCGACAGCGGCAGTAAGAGCCGAGGCAGACGACGGAGGGAAACGAGAGTCAGTGACAAGAGTGGCGAGGACACGTGCGGCAACAGGACGAACAGTGCGGTAGTAGTCAGTTATAGGAGTGGGGAGGGCTGGGAGAGAGGACGGAGGAGGAGACGGGAGAACGGACACAGGAGAACAAGAACGACGACTGGACGAACAAAAGAGGGCAGTGTGGAGGTCAGTAACAGGGGACGAGTGACGAGCACGCGGAGGACAACGAGTGATCAAGTCGTGACGGACAGAGTGAGGAGGAGACCGAGGAGGAGGAGAAGACCAGACCGCCGGACGGTCGTCAGGAGGAGGCAACGGAGGAACAAACACAGGAGGAGACTGGGAGCGGACAGGAGGAGAGGAGGAAAGGCCAAGGGCCCGCAGGCCACTCACAGGTGGGAACAACTGCCGCTCCAGAGGAAGCTGCGGTGGCGGCTGCTGCTGCTGCTGCAGCGGTGACTGCGGCCGCTGCTGCTCCAGAAGGTCCAGCACCCGCAGCTCCTGCCGCTCCCTCTCCAACCGCTCCTGCTCCTCACGCTCACGCCAACGGGCAGCCTGGAGACGCTTGTCGTGGCGGTGGGGAGGCGGAGTGGACTCTGCAGAACCAGGGTCTCCAGCGTCAGTCTCCTCAGACTCAGCACCCCCAGAACCAGCACCTCCAGTGCCAGGACCTCCAACTCCAGCACCCCCAGAACTAGCACCGCCAGTGCCAGCACCGCCAACTCCAGCACCCCCAGAACTAGCACCTCCAGTGCCAGCACCTCCAGCTCCAGCACCCCCAGAGCCAGCGCCACCTGCGCCAGCACCTCCAGCTCCAGCACCCCGCGACCGAGCACCCCCAGACCGAGCACCGCCAGCGGCTGCACCTCCAGCTCCAACACCAACCGAGTCCACAGTAACCTGTCGCGGAAGTGCCGAAGGCTGCTGAGGGGACTGTGAGGAGGACTGCGGGGAGGGAGACGCTACCTGACGCGCGACCGAGGGTAGAGGGGTAGCGTGAGACACACCAGACGGGGCAGGACCAGGGGGGGGCGGGGGTACCGGAGGAGCAGGAGCAGGAGGAGGAGAGGGTGCTAGGAACAGGGGGGGAGGGGGTACCGGGAGACCTCGATAGGGGTACCGGGTGTAGTAGGACACAGACTCGTCAAACCGGACGTCACGGGAGTCTAGGAACTGGTGGAGGGGCGGGTGGTAAAAGGACCAGTCGGCAGAGTCCACTGGGAAACCAAGGAAGACACAGGGGACGGCGCGTGCTGAGAGCTTGTCCGCGGAGGTGTCGCGAACAAGTGCAAGGCAGCCCCAGACTCGAAAGGCCGACCCAACACCAAGGGAACCAGTCCAAAGACTGGTCGGTGAAGCCTCGGGCCGCGAGACACGCGGCTGGAGGTTCAGCTGGTGTGCGGCGTAGCGAACCGCGTGAGGCCACAGAAAATGGGGCGCACGGGCATGGATCATGGACGTGCGGGCGATGTCCATGAACCCCATTCTGCTATGGGGACTCTGGCAGCGTCCAGGACTGGGTGATGCCCTGTTCGCCGCAGAATCCGCCGAGAATGCCGGAGCGAAACTCGCCCCCACGGTCGGAGTGAAGACAACTGAATCGACGACCACGAGTGCCCTCAGTGGCTAGAAGCCACCTGATCAGCATAGCAGTCACCTCGGACTTCTTCGCAAGAGGGAACACGGTGGTGTACCTGGAGTAGTCGTCGACGACCACCAGAAAGTAACGCTCTCTCCCAGACCCCTGCGTCGGGGCAGGGCCCCAGACGTCCAAGTGGAGAGTCTCGAAGGGAGCGGTGGCCGGACGAAGGGAGGAGGAGTGGGGAGTGGCGCGTAAGCGACCGGCGACGCACGGAGAGCAAGGAGGGGCAAGCGAGAGAGGGAGCGACGGGAAGGTGCGTGGGAGACCTGTGACAAGTCCCTGACTGAGCATGCCACAAAGGCGAGGGATCGACGGGTGGCCAAGGCGGTGGTGCCACAGGACGGTGCGGTGGGCAAGAGAGCGACAGGAGCAAGACGCAGCGACTGGACTGGACACAGCGACCGGACTGGACACGACTACCTGGCTAGACACAGCAACTGGACTGGGGACCTGGGCCAGAGGGGACGCAGCGACCTGAGGGGAGGACGCGACCGGGGAGCGCTCGGTGTGGAGAACGTAGAGACCGGAGCGGGGCTCCCTGGTGAAAGTGGCCAGAACAGCACCTGTGGTAGCGTCAGTACAGACTGCAGTCCGCCCACCCCCCACGAAGGTAACCGTGATCCCCCTGTCCTGGAGGTATCCAACACCCACCAAGTTCCGAGTG